TAAGTAGTCTGTGTAAGTTTACTTTCGAGGATCCAAAATTTTTAATATTGATCCAAATTTTAAAATTTGTGAACCATCATCAAATTTTAAACTTTTCAAAATGTCCGTCCGTCCGATGTCACGTTTTTTGTCCACAAGTCAAAAACGAAAAATGATAGCAACTTAAAATTTTCAGAAAAAATCAAGATCTATAATAAGAAGAAACTTACTGATTTAAAAAAAAATCTGATTAAAACTGGGGAGTTAAGGGGGATTTAAATTAAAAAAAATAATCAGAAATCAAAAACGGAAACACAAAAGTTTTAGCAAAAATCAAGCTCTATAAGAGGATAATTTTTGATTCGAATAAAATATGATTAAAAATAGAAGATTAAACTGTGAAGAATATAATATAGAATGTCAAGCATTATATCGTCGGCTTACTGCCAAAACAAGATAAGTTACATTTTATTAGTTTTGAGTAAATTAAGTTTAAAAGTTTTAACCTACACTAAAACAACTTCATGAGAGAAAACATTTATTAAGTGGTAAAATAACATAAGATTGTGGTACTAGAAACATAATTATTACAAGAAATAAAAAATATATAATTAGCAAATGTATAACTAGTAGAACAATTTTTTTTCTGTACTTAACTTATTTTGGCTGAAATTAGGAATTCAGGAAAGAAAGATAAGTGACACCTTATTTGGTTTTGCACTCTAAGCATGCTAATGTAACAATACAATAAACTTCAAAAATAAGATAATTGACACTTATCTTTTTATCTGGTCTAAGGAATATGTGGTATGTTTTTGTAAAGACCTCTTACAGACACCCTGTATATGCATAGGCATTCTAACAATCTTCTAAACTTTATTTTATGTATAACTTTTTTGCGAAACAACACATGATGGATCTATGCCGCACAGGTTAGATAAAGTAGTTAATTTTATAAATCTAAAATATTCTTTTAAATCAACACGAGCATTCAGAGGGTTATTGATGGGTTGAATATCAAATCAAGTAATTCTTTTTCTTTTATTTATTAAAATTATTGAAACCTAGCTACATTTTATTATATCCATATAAAAAGATATAAACAGTGTATTATTAAAGAAAATCTCAGACATATGTGTAACAAAATAATAGGACTGCCCCCTCTGAAAAAACAACTATACTCCTTTGGCTAATAGCACAGTAAGGATTAAATTACTATATCCACAGAAAAACAGAGAGAAAATTATTTTCAATTCTCCTAACTTAGATTTTGCTTACTAAAGTAGTACATCATTCTTGGAAGAGTTTCGTCCTTTTTAGGATTCTTCGGCACTTTCTGATTTCTTAATGTCATTCAACCAACATCCAGGTATAGAAGTGAATGTTATATATCTACAGGTTTGTTTAATTGGAGATTGGAATTGAGAATGTCTACTTCTTGCTGACGAGTCCTAATAAGGACGTAATAAGTAAGCAAAATCGATGAAAATAATTTTAAATAAATTAAATGCCCGTTGCAGTATTTTTTTTTTACGTATTGGTCACATAAGAGTTTAGAATTATTTTCCTTTTGTATTATTTATTATTAGCTACTGCGCTCTGAGGCGATTTAGAGATGGCTCATCATCGTCAAGACAGCCCACTGAAATTGAAATATAGATATCATAACAACAGAAATTAAATTAGTGCTCATAAGCCTCCCATGAAATCCTCGACGCATGCAAATTAAAGAAAATTTACTAATCATTTAACTATAGGAATGTATGTTTTCTTTAAAAATTTAGTAGGTATGTTACTAAATGATTAATAGTTTTTGGAATCTTTGGAATTTTGATAAATTCCACATATATAGGGTGTACCAATAAAAACTCCCGGATATTTTGGTAAGTAATAGAGATATTTTAATTCTGCAAAAGCCAGTTCACAGAGCACTAAGCTTTAGTTGTAGATATAAATTAATTTTAAATAGGTCAATATATAGATGGCGTTGCGCTCAATATATTTTTTTTTTGATGGGAGGATCTTTCTTATGTAACGCATCTTGTAAAAATGCATTTTTAAGCAGATTTTGTTCTATTAACTAATTCGATAAATATAACCATTTCTGATATACAGAGTGGGTCACTCAAAACAGTTTCATCCTGTTTTTCAGCATTAATCATTGGATTTTAAGAAAATGCTAAAACAGGTCGATTTTTATTCCAAATTCAAAACATTTTTACAATACAGACATCTGTCATGTGTCAACCCCCTCCCTTGCACTACTCCAACACCTTAATTTGAAATAGGTAATGTACCATGTATGGCACATCATTGAAAAGGTAATTTAATGGGGAATTCAAAAATATTTATGTTCATTGCGTTACTTTAATTTTATCGCCCTCTAGCGGAAAAAAACTATTACGTATTATAGAGTGTGACACTACAATGTGTAGTACATCATTAAAAAGGTAATTTTATGGGAAATTTATATATATGATTGTTAATTGCGATACTTTTAATTGTACCGCCCTCTATCGGGATAAAAAAACATAACATTAATATAAATATCCTCCATATTGCACTTGCAATAGTTTGAAGATTAGTCATGCATTATTTTAAACATTATTATTGCTAATTTTAGGTATTTTGTTGCAAGTGCAATATGGAAATATTTATGTTATTGATATGGTGCATTGAATTAGTAATTAAATTAGCTTTCAAATGAAGTGTCACACTTTATAATACGTTACAGGTTTTTTATCCCGATAGAGGGCGCTAAAATTAAAAGTATCGCAATAAACAGTCATATTTATGACTTCTCCACAAAATTACCTTTTCAATGATGTGCTGTACATGGTACATTCCTTATTTAAAATTAATGGGTTGGAGAAGTGGAAGGGAGGAGGTTGACACATGACATGTATTGTAAAAATGTGTTCAATTTGGAATAAAAATCGACCTGTTTTAGCATTTTCTTAAAATACAATGATTAATGCCGAAAAGCAGGATGAAACTGTATATTAAAAATAAAATGGCCCCTCTGCCCCTCCCCCCCCCCAGAAAAAAAATTTTACGATGATTTATGAGCCTTTTATTCAAAAAAATATGCTAAAAAGGAAATATCTAAAGCAGTGTTACTGAAAGTGTGGTCTGCCAGCTGTGGGGCTCCGCAAAGCCTTTGTGGGGGCTCCGCAACGAAAATAATAGTCATAACAAAAAAAAAGCAGTACCTATTGCTACAAAGGGATTTGGCTTGAGTACCTTGTTTTTTTTATTTTTAGAATCCAGTAAGAGAAAGGAGTATGCCTATACGATTTTGGAAGGATGATATGATTTTGTTGTAGGGGCTCAGGCTGGAGCAAGGAGGATTTTGCTTGGAGGACTTTTTTTTTAGAAATGAGTTTAGGGCTCCGTCAACTATTTCGCTTTTCAAAAAGGATCCGTCACCAAAAAAGTTTGAGAACCACTGATCTAAAGGCAATGGTCCCCTCCGAAAGTTCGTCTTGGAGCCGCCCTTGGGGGTAACCCACCCTCCACAACGTTACAGATTAAAATACTTATGAAATTATAATTATAAATTTACGCCAAACTATTCTAAAAATGTATGTTCTAGGTGTACCAAATTTTACAAAAATATATAATATTTGATCAGGTTTTAAAACGATCACTTTTTTAGAAATAGACTTATTATCTTTGAAAATAAAATTACTGAATTGTATCTGCCTTATTAAAAAAAATATTACAATAAATGTAGGTACAACGTTAATAATTATCAACAACACTAAAATAAGTCATGGCAGGTACAAATAAATTGGAGAATGAAGATTATTGTTATCTATTATATTTATATATTTACGATTTACGTATTTTGTAATGCATCGCAGCATCGGCATAGTAGCCACTACCAAATTGGTGAGTCACAACACAAATAATAATTAGGTACACAACCTGCCAGGTACCAATTCAACCAAAACATTGACTGTTGCCCTAAAAAGGGACCTGCTACCTGCTTTTCCTTCGAACAGGTGGCTATCAGCGTAAAATTTATAGTTGTGTTTAGCGATCATGAATAAAAATATAAACGTAAATCTTAATTTTAATCAATTAAATAAACTATATTGTATTAATTATATTTATATGCTTGGTGTGAGTTTTGTGACCCACTTTCACAAAGAAATAATCATAAATATGAATATATCGATGCTTACGAACGCAAATTTCTATAAGTTTTTGAATAAACTACAAATATTCATTAAACTTATCGAACTAAAGAATTATTGCTCACCTGTTAAAAACACCCCCGCACAAGAATGTTGTCACGTTAAAATCCAAAATTAAATTTTTCACTCATTAGGTATCCAATTAGTTCATGCAAAAGTTTTTCTCGGTAAATAAAAATATAATATATTTTTATATATCGCGATTATTTTAAATTGTCGAAAGCAAAAACGACAATACGTGTCCCACGATTATCTCACAGAGCATAGCAAACTCGCACTGACAGAAAACAGAAAATTGACATTCCTACAGCTGATTATCAAATTAAATTGTAACTAACTTCACGCAAATTCAGATTTTTAACACGTGGGTCTATTGTCAAAATGTAATTTAATTGGTTCAAAAGTAATCTTATTCTTTTTGAAATATATTCTTCACCAATCAAACTTAAAAATGTTTCCGATTTGATCCGAAGTTGTAATGATTTCTACGAGGAAGACCGAGATTATCGTATGAAGTTAGGTACGCATTGTCCAATGATGCCAACAAAAAAAATTATAATTACTATCCAAATTATTAATTTTAAATTAATCAATTAATTCTTTAAATGTTTATTTAAAATGATTTATACTTATTTTTATTTAAATTATTTTCAAAAAAAGAAGGGAAACAATATTTAAGTTTGTTCTAGTTTACAAATCTAAACACTTATGGAAAAAGCGTGCCCTGGGAATATAGCTCCTTCCTTGTTTATCGTGTGTTAAATAGATGCAATCAAAAACTCGTGTGTGTTCCGAACTAGCATTAGAACATAAAAACCGTTGACTTTTTCCAAGAGGGCAATCTGCAAAACTGAAGAAATCGGAAAACAAATAAAATGGCAGACGAACAATTACCCGCCGGTTGGGAAAAACGTCTCAGTAGGTCAACTGGTAAGTTATTTCAAAGTTTTATAATTAAAATGATGTCGTTTCACTTGCAAGCTATATTAGTATAACTATCGAAATATTTTAATTTTGTAGTACTAGATAAACGTTTTAGGTTATTAAAAAAATCAATGTTTTGTAGGACAACACTACTATTTAAATATTTATACTAAAGAATCTCAGTGGGATGTTCCAGATAAGCCAGCTGAGCCTGTATCTTCCAGTGGCCCTGAACAAGTTCAGTGTTCACATTTATTGGTAAAACATAAAGATTCTAGAAGACCCTCATCATGGCGAGAAGAAAATATAATCCGCTCAAAAGAAGACGCATTAGATATAGTTAAATGTGAGTTTGTTATCTATATTCTAGTTCCAATAATGATATACAACTAAATTACACTGGAACCTAGTTTACTTCAGTTAAGTTGCCAGCTTTATAGTATAAGTGATGCAGTAGATTGATAAGCTTAGTTGCTTGTCTTAATAATAATAATAATTTGTATTGACCATTGAAAACAATACAACTTCAATATTGCATCGATATCGATATATATCTCAATGCCTACATGTCATTAAAAATACATAGGTGTTAAAAAGAAAGAACCTGGTTAATAATTTCACAAAAAAAACTAGTTTAATTTTACCACTAATAGACTGAAAAATTTCTGTACCGTGAATATTGGCTTTCAACCTGTTCAAGTTCTCTACATTTTAGGTTTTTATTTTTCATTCAAAATCAATTGGTTTCCCTAAATCTGTACCTTAGAGGCAAATAATCATATCTAGATTTTTATATTAAGTGGAGATAATACATTCACTAAAATATCTAACATTTATACTTTTTGGTGGTAGAGTAGAAAATTATATCTATATTAGTACTAGAATACTAGGTAAATAAAAAGTTGTATTTCCAACTTTGGGCCTCAATTTTTCCAAATCTATAAGATTCTTTACCATGTCAAATTAGTTCTTTATAATATATCAGTGATATATTGAGAAATGATTTTATACAGAATTACATGTGGATTGCAGGATATTATATAGATCAACTATATAAATTACTGAATATGGCTAGATGATGCCTAAATTATTTGTCATAATACAGTTTTTTATTCAAGCTGTAATTATTGAAGAATGTTATATTATCAACATTGCAATTTATTTTATCTGGTTATTTTTATTTGCACATATAGATAAATGTATTTCCTAATACTATTTCACTTAACTATAATGAATGGTACTTATAAATCTATGGAATCCTATACGAAGTTATAAAAAATAAATTAAAGAAAAGTAACTGGAATATTTTGTAATAATGTTGTAAAGTATGGATGAACTGTTTCTAGAAGTAGTGTCCAGATAGCTTGTTATTTAAAAATTGTATATTCTTATATTTTGTGTAATCTTATCCCATTTAAGTACCTTTAGACTATTATAAAATAATGTAGGAAACATATTAAAAGTACCGATAATGATCAGTTAAATGATTTACATAGGTTTAGAGAATGCTTTTAACTTAATTTGTATTTCAGATTTTTAAGTTTGGCAGCATTTCTAGTTAAATGTTCCTGAACTTTTGGATTTTCTTACATTATAATTAAATAATTCAAACTTCTTATTGTTTTAGCTTATCGCGAACAAATTGCTCAAGGAAAGACATCATTTGCAGAATTGGCCTCAAAGTACTCAGATTGTTCCTCGGCAAAACGAGGCGGCGATTTAGGTCCATTTGGAAAAGGGGCCATGCAGAAACCCTTTGAAGAAGCTGCTTTCGCATTAAAAGTTGGAGAATTGTCTGAACCTGTGTTTACAGATTCTGGAGTGCATATTATATTACGTACAGTCTAAGCATTTTTATCATCAGTGTTTTCCGAATTTAAAACTTCCAGTTGACTTTACAATACTACATTTCATTACTCTGACACCAACTATCATTTAAAATCTTTTTTGTAAGCAAATTCATGTATTCCGAAAATTAAGTTGCACAAATTAAATACATAGGTATTATAAAAAAGTAATCAGAAAGAATTAATAGGTTCATATTCAGTTCTTGCTTTTTTGTGATTAAACTTGAAATATCTACAGCCATAAATGTTCCTATGGTTCAATTTAATTGTTTATAAGAGCTACCTAGTTGTTAAAGCGTTTAAAAATTGATTTTGTTATATAAAAAATGATAAGCTAGAAAGAAGCAAATTTATATTTGTTCTGCCATCAAATCTGCAATATGAAACTTTTAAGGTTGTACAGTTTTGCCGTATGAAATTTCAGTTAAGATTTTATTCAATTTCAGGTATAAACAGGTTTTTAATTTACAAGTTGTATATTTATCAATTTCCTCTGTTTACTTTTTTTTCATGATGCCTTTTGTCTATTATAATTTTGAATGTTACTTTTTAGTAACAATAATTCTGACATTTCTTGTTATATTTTATAGATTATTGCATTTAAGGCTGATTCGGTTGGACTTTTGTAATTACTGGTATTGCAAATTGTGTTAAATTTTGATTTATGTATAGCCACAAATATATATTAAGTAGTAATCATGTTTTACTTTTTATTTATAATTTATTTGATAGTCGAGCCATATTTTCCACCAATAAATATTTTAATTTCAACTGAAATATAAATGAGCCAAGTCCTATTAGCACAAGCAATGAAGCATCTAGTGGAGTTACCTATAAAAAATTGGAATAAAAGCTGCGTATTGGTATATTGTTAAATTTTTAGGGGTGTTTTTTTTAAACATTCGATTTTTGAGAACCCTGCATAAACTGCTAGTCTGAAATGAAACATTCTTGCAGTCTTGATCTAGAGGATATTTGTGCCAAAAAATCCTGCGAGATACTTTCCAAGTATCTATAGTTTACCCTCTAGATCGTCCTGAAGAGAGGCACGTCTTCTCATTGAAAGCCACGCTCCCATTCTTTGCACTGCTTTCATTTTGTGAGCTATGGGCCAAAAGGATGGTTTTTTGTCCGAGTCGATAGCTAAACAATTGTGAGAATGGCGAGCGCTCAAAATCAGCTGTTTGTAAATTTCATCAGTTACCCTTATATTTGTTGCCCTTATATTTGCTTCCCCACAATTATCTGAAAGTTAGTCTAGTTAATGTTCCCCAAAGGGTGAATTTTTAATGTGAATACTGTAACAACCAGTTTGTTTAAAGGACCATTTTTGCTAAGTCCTTAACTACTTGTCATTATACTATTAAGGGATAAAGGCAGCACTGTCACTAGCCCTAGGGTCCTGGAGTCCTGAAGGAACATCCATTCGCCAGTGGCAAAACAAAATAATAAAATACATAAAAACATCCCTTAATAGCATATGTCGAGAGGTTTTGGCAACTGTCTTAAGACTCTCAAGTCCTTAAGGGTAGGAACGCCGAGGCTTAACATGCTCGGAATATTTCGTACTAGTTTTTGGAAAGAGGTGAGAATAAAATAGGTTAATAAACAGAACATGTGTATTTAAAATGTAAATAAAAAAATGATTACCAATTTCAATAAATCAGAACAATCTTTATTTATGAAATAAGACAAACAGAAATTACTACCCACAATTGTAAATCTTTAATATGATAAACCCTTTTGATATAATATAATCTATGATAAAACTTTAATATAACAAACCTTTTATGTCACAAAACTTTTAATATAATAAAACCCTTAAATCTGATAAACATTTAATAAATAAATTTGGGACGAAAATGAAAGAATTGGCATTTGAAGAAAACTAATGAACTGTTTTAAAATACATAACCCAAACGAGAGATTTAAACATGTTAAAATAAAATAGATATTATCTTTGAAGCAAAATCACTACACACACACTTTACTATATACAATAAGGCGCTTCGGGACATAGGGTCCCGAAGACCACGTATTACTAAGTTATATTTTTGGGCATATGTTTGGCCCAACGGCCGCCCCTTGTGTCAAGGATTGGCTATTTATATCAACCTTTACGTGATTATTTTAAAAGAAACTCGACTTATTTACCTTCACACGATTAGTCCTTTAATTTACTAGTACAATGAACTATTTCTAATTGTTTGGTTTTAATAAGTATGTTGTGTTATTTTAATAGATATTTTTGTTAAATTCTTTATATTTTAAAAATAATAATGCCAATTATTACAATACTGTATGACTGACACGCGATTAAATGTGCACAGTCGTAGGTGAAGAAATTTGGAAAAAACTAAAGTTGTAAGGCGCTGAAATTTTACAGGTATACTTACATAATAGCTTTAAGAACATATCTGAATATTAATTAAATCGCATGCTAGCTCGCTTGCCAATAATGGAAACCAGATTCCAACACAATTTTTTTGATTTTTCTACTTTACTGTTTTTTCTAGGATTGATACTAATATTTACATGTTTTTCCTATTACATATTAGAAATTATTAATTATATGGTGGTATGTTTTATTGTGGTTTTCATTTTTTGTGAACAAAAAAATACATAGCTTCTACTGAGGCCTTGGTATTAAAATATCTGCTGCCAAAAAGGCAATATACTTGTTTATTTTTTTAAATGTATTTTGAAATCTTCACTTTAGATAGAGAAATTCAAATTTGGAGTTTTAGCCACAAAATTTATAGTTTAGTAGATATGATAAAACCCTTTAGAATATTCGTATGCTACCACAATAGGAGACTCAGATGATGGATTTGGAGTAGCCTTTGCCATTTCAGATTCTGTTGAATTTTCTTGTTTATTTTATTTTTTTAAATTCATGAGTAAACACTGTTAATTAGAAACCCCTGCAAACGAGACGTCAGACAACTCTAAAGTTGTAAAAAATATCAGCTAAAAAAATGTACAATATAAATATTTCATTAGAAAACTTACTTGACATGACCCGTTAGCTCAGTTTGTAAAGCACTGAACATGCAGTTGAATGGGCATTTCTCGACATGGTTCAATTCACAATGTATAAAAATTGGAAAAAAATACGTACTATTGTTGTTTATTTTTTTTTAAATACTTTTTTAAGTTATTGCATAGCTTTTATCGCGGGCTTTGAGCGCGGTGACCGAATCAATAAATTCCGTAACGAAAATAAACCTAACACCCCCCACCCCGAGCGGTGCGGCGTCGAAAGCCGTGGAAGGTTTTATCGGACCCTATTCGTATTAGTATGAAGCGGAGTTAAATATACGTCTGCGGACTGGAACGTTTATGCAATACAAAAACTAGAAGAGCTTTCTCTGGCTTCTAATAAATTGGTATCACAAATGTTCCCGGCTGGCGTAAATATTAGGTATTAATTTTTTTTGCAAGATTTATAAAGTAATAATTTTTATTTTATCAGTGTTAACTATTCATTATTAAGCTATTGCATAGATTTTATCGCGGGCTTTGAGCGCGGCGACCGAATCAAGAAATTCCGTAACGAAAATAAACCTAACACCCTCGAAAAATTGAAAATTCGAAAAAGAAATTCCGTAACGAAAATAAACCTAACACCCCTCACTCCGACCGGCACAGCGGTGCGGCGTTGAAAGCCGTGCATCGTCTAACGTCGTTTCAGTTCGGCAGACTTTGTCACGGTGTTTGTGTGCGTGCGACTAGACGTATGCGTGTTGACTAGCTGCTAACTGCTCATAACTGATTCTATCTCTTTTAGACACAATTTCGGAAAAATTGAATTTGAAAATGAATAATTGCTGCGTTTGAGAATCCACATCGGATGCATTTTTTACATCTCGAGCGTTTTTTTATCCACATCGGACACATCTGTCCCATTACATTTACGTATACTGAATCACGTGATCAAAGATTTTTTACATCTCAGATGCATCCGATGTGGATTCTCAAACGCAGCATATGATCCACAAGAATCCACAACAAAATATGGGACCACCATTGACGCGGTATTTTCCAGATATTTAGAGGATATCAAGTCTCAAACTTGTTATTCTTATTTCAGTTACCATAAACCTATAGTTTCAATGATAAAAATTCCTGAATAACCTATATACATGTATTGTAAGATAATAAAAATATTTTAAACAATATTAACTTCTCATTTATTCAATAAAAGAAAAAAAATTGTTTTCTTATCGGTCACCACGCTCAAAAAGTGTAACTTGAATTAATATCAAAGAAAAAAAAATACTGCATAAATAAAATAAATAATTATAATTGCATAAGTTGATAAAAAATGCTATGCAATAGCTTTACTGCGGCAGTCTCCGAGTGCTACACGTATTTTTTTTTTTTTCTCCTGGGCTCTTCTGACTATGGGGTCTATTCTGTAACAATTCCTTATTAATATTTAACGGCCTTTAAAAATATTTTCTTCTGTCATTATTTAAATAGAGGACTAAAGAAATCTGTTTAAATAATGACACAGGTAAATTAACGAATACGAAAATATTTTTAAAGGCCGTTAAATTTAAAGGAATTGTCACAGAATAGACCCCTATGTCTCCGAATAACAGTGTTTTACCCCATGTTAGTCCATAGCGCCCACTCTGTCACCTGCTTTGTACCTTGTACAAGTTTGTACAGATCCTTGGGTGAGTGGGTTCTATACGTTGTTGGATTAACCTGGGGTTGTCCAAAAAGTGCCTATCTTTTGCGATCTAGGGCTTCGCATTCGCACAGTATGTGTTTGGCCGTTTCTGGTTTCTTGTGACATAGTCGGCACATGAGTTCCCCATTGTACATGCCAATTTCGTTCAAGTGTCCCTTTACTGGGGCGTGCCCAGTCATACATTTTATTTAGCATAATATGATAAATAAACAATAGTACATATTTCTTTTCAATTTTCATAAAAAAATGAATAAAATAAAAAAGATTGCATTCATCATGAATTGAACCGCCTCGCGAAATGTACATTTCAGTGCTTGTTCCAGTGCTCTACAAACTGAGCTAACTGGTCATGTCAACAAAATTCTTTAATGAAATATGTGTATTATAAATTTTAACAAAAAATTATAACTTTGTCATCTGATATCTTGTTTTCAGGGATTTTAAACTAAATCCATAGCAGGGGCAGACGTTGGAAAATCCTTTGGAAGGTAGAGAGAATTTTGCAGTAATGTTTATCTATCAGTGATGTTTCATAGAATAAATTTAAATTGTTACCAGTGGAACCAGACAATTGCATGTATTAGAAACAAGTATTATAAAATCACAATTTCAACAGCTATTCACAATTTATAAAACTACCCGAAATTGTTATTAACATCTATAAAACAATTTTGTACGCCCATATATTGTGTCCACTTCAATTTGCTCCGCTGCAAAACTGTCAATTTATGTGTATGAAGTGGGAGAACTGGGAGAAGCCTTTCCAACTTCTGTCTCTGCTATACCACTTCACAAAATTCCATCTGGGGGTACGATTGTACCCACCTTGCAGCCACTAGCTCTCTATTTGTGTTGAAATTCAATGTACTTGACAATTTTCTTACAGAAAAAATTAAACTCATTTTGACTTAGTTTTTACTTTTATTTAAAAAATATTTTTACAAGGGTGCACAAACTTTCATTAATTTATAAGGGTTTGAATCGCTAACAAATTTCACTTCTTCATCTAGCCCAGGGTAGTCATTTACCCATTTTCTTTCTCTATAATAATCCAAACAACTAGTTAGTTCCTTTTCTGTATAATTTTGAACATGTACAGGTACAAATGGATCTAAATGTTCAAAGCCTTCTTTCCCTAAGAGATACCTAAAAATAGAAAATAACTATTGTAAGGACCACCATAAATACATAAACACAAATGTTATACCTAGGTAAGTGTGATATTTGATCTTCTTCAGCAATAGCTATTTCATCAACAGTTACAACTGCAGCACCATTTTTCCAGTCAAAATTAGTCAAACTCATAAATCCTTGGGTAACAGTAACATTCTGTGGATGAACAACTTCTTTTTTCTCAGTATATACTCTAGTATTTGGGTAAAAAAAGGCATTGTAACCATCAACAGCTACTAAAGTTCTAAAGATGCCCTTATTAGAAAGCTTCTTAATTTCTTCACATAGGGCTATTATGGTGTCAGAGGCATATTTTATTCTATTAATACCATGGTCCACTAAATTTAAGATATCTGAACCAGCAGGGGTTATTTCCCTCTTGCTCCAAACATAATCTATAGAAGTTTTAGCTTCGGGATTAGATAGCAAGTGGGAATTTTGTGTTTTAAAATTCAATAACCAAGCTGCTGCATCTAGATTTAAATCAACATAACCTTCCTTAGTTTCACTGTTACTGTATTCCTTACATCTACGCATCCAGTTACCCAACCATGGTATATGAACTATCAAAAATCCACTTTGATAACCATAATGTAAAATATGTGCTAAAGATAGTGACTTTCCACTACCTTTTTTACCGTATAAAACGAATCTTACGACTGGTTTAGAGTAATCTAAATTTCTTAAACAATTTATTATATCCAATGATGGTTGACGAATCATTAGGCAAGTTTCATTAAAAGTTTTTGTTTGTACATCAAATGATTTTGGTATTCCACCATATATAAATATCCGTTTTCTATCTTCTTCAGATATTGTATAAAATAAACCCAAATGTTCATCTTTATGTTTTAGACATTGCGATTCAGTGGTTCGAAACCTTTGTAATTTTTCTGGTGAAAGTAATAAGGGTGCACTAGAAAAGCACTGCACAGGTGTTTTTAATGGTAAAATATTTTTAAATATGAATCTAATTGAAGAGCTATACATAGTGATATTCACTATTTTCTTGTAAGCGATTTGTATTTTGTATATATTTTTTTAATTTTATGCAAGAAAATTCAAATTGATAAAATTATGGTTAATTTCATTCTCCTTTATTTGAATTTAAAACGGTCTTTTCCAAAGTAGGCAATTGAACGCCTAATCTTCTTCTGTGTTTGTGTCTCTTACTGAGACAAAATGAATTGTAATCGCATCTGTGAAATGTAAGATTTAAATTATCGATATGGGTATATATTTGTTTAAAATGGTTATTATAATTAAAATATAAGAACATTCTTCATGAATACATGAAGAATACCTTAACAACTCGCCAGTTTAGGCCTAGGCTACTTTCGTCCATACTAACGTATTCTAATTTGAAAAGTTTTGTTACATTTCTTTATATCTTTCCCTATATGTATACATACGAATAAGTTAGAAATTAGAATGCCTGATAGATGATAGCACGATTATATGATGTGATAAATAGTTTATGATTTACAATTTCATTTCTTATCATAACCACTTCATTTAATAACTATTTAAACGTACCTGTAGGAGAAAGTGGGACTCAGACACATTTCAACATTTGGCTTTAACTACCTACCTCCTTCAGAAATAAAAACAAAATATTACAGATCGATATTAGGGTTCGGGGATTGAATTCTAATTCCTAAGTAGGATATTAACACGTTGACTGCGAAGCCGAATTTGAATCACATTTTGAATGTGCGACACATGCGTTAAATACCTAGCATTTCAAGATTTTTTGTATTAATGTGCGACACGAGCCTGTGAGAAGATTTTTATATAAACGCCATCTATCAGATCGACAACTTTTATCTAAACATATTACATTAACTTGTATATGAATGTGTCTTTCTTAGGTTACTTTCGCACATATCTCTATGTATTTTGACCTCCTGAATTTGATTCCACCATCAGCATTTCATTTCATCGTTTTTGTTTTTTTCCTCTTAGATTTTTGTATTTAAAATGTTATTTCAAAGATAGCTGTGTGTTATTTTTTCGTTTCGGCATTATCGCAGCCTTCTTTTAGCAATTCAAACTTGCAATTATTTACAAACGCAATAAAATGTTTTATTACTTGTGTGCGGCACACGCATATTTCAGCATGTGAGATAGAAACAGATTAACAGTATCTTGAATCAACTTACAGCCATATTGCTTTCATTCAAAACTGTTAAAAACCCAGTCCGCACACATAGTCCTTATTTTAAGTTTAGTTCTATTTTGACGTCCAGTGGACGTCCATCTTAGGTCATTATTTATTTAGCTTACCAGATAATATAGTAAACGCCAAATCTAAAGAACCAGCGCAAATGCTCAAGTTCGTTTACTTAAAAATCGCCACGCCCGTTCACAATTTAAACCTTGTTTTTTCTTACGGTCAGTAGCGTAACGACTAGATCATTATTGTTTGTTTCTTGTTTCTGTGTTTTGGTTAAAGTGACACTGGTTTTATTTTTAATAATGTCTTCTATTGTGGGTGAAAAAAGCGCAGATCTGTTATTATTGGACAAAGGCGTGAAGTAATATACAATGTTTTTAAATATTTTGACGCAACAAAAAAGGAGGAAGTTACTTTAGATATATCAAACTTCAAACTGCACAAGCAACAGGTAAACATATTCTGTACAGTATTGAACGTCCAAATATAATCCAGAATTGGACGTCCTATGAACGGTCAAAAGTGTGCCATTTGTATACTTCACTGGACGTCCATATTGAAGTCCAGAAAAAACTCATCTTTGGACGCCCAGACATCCAAAATTGTATATCGAATGGACGTCCAATGGGAAGTTTTATTTATTCCGCAAGTTAGAGAAGTATATACTGATGATTTTCCTGCCACACATAAATTAAAACGATCACATGCCAAAAATAGCATGTGATGCAAAAATAATTACCTTAGGCATGAACTTAGTAGCAAATCTATAACTGTTAAGTACATTTACGAATTTGTTACTACCTATCTCTAAATTCCCAGGATATGACCGAACTTCGATTTTCGTTCAAGGACGACTCTAAGTACACAGGTGGCCATGTACTCACCCTATACTTAAGACTCGTATATTTTTTCCTAATTGTATTACACAGTAGTAAAAAAAATGTTTCAATGTGCCCCGCTCCCCCCTACGTAATCATATCGAAAACGTGATATTATTGTCATAATCATGTGAAGATAGGAATGTAAAGCAGAACTTAACCTCCAAGTTATGGCCTAATTTAAATTGAGTATCCAGCTACTATAAGAACACCCTTGAGATTCAGAATTCAGGACGAAGAGTTGCTTTTTAATTTAAAAATTAGAAGTACTTGGATTAAATTTATTCCTTATTTTAATTTTATTTAACAAGATGCTTCCGAGTTGTGTTAGAGCAGTTTCCAAAAAAAGTATTTTTCCAAAAGTAAGTGAATATTGATTTTAATTTTGTGTGACATTTTTCAGATTAAAAAACAAGAGGAACCACAAGGTTAAATTGAAGTCATTTGGAAATAATTGGCAGAAAATTTTTCATTATGGCAAAGCGATTTGGAAATTTAGTCAATGTAACAAACCTTATTTACTCACAAATTATAATTACTGAACAAGTACCAAAGTTTTCATGTTAAAAAAATATTTTTTTCTTTTTCAGAAGTCTTTAGGTAGCATTTTCGCCAAAAATAATTTTGCTACGGAAGCAACTTTTGAAACAAAGGTAAATAATTTGTGTAAATTATCTAGTCTGCAACTTTTTTTATAAAACAAAAAAAAAGGTTATGTAATACGCCTTTTTAAAATTTTAGCTATTGTGTAAAGCTATTTAACATAAAATATGTTTAGAATTATTTGTCTTTGACGATACAAGTAAGAAAACCTTTTATAACGCCCTATTTAAGTGTTAGTTCTTTCAATCACTTGTTTTTTAAATAATTTATCATAAAACTAAATTTTGCAAATACTTTTTCAGCCTTATCGATTACACAAATTAGAAGAATCACCATCAACAACTGTAACTTTAAACAAAGAAGATGCCCTCAAATATTATATCCAAATGCACACTATTAGAAGATTGGAAACTTCCGCTGGCAATCTTTACAAAGAAAAAATTATAAGAGGTTTCTGTCATCTTTATTCTGGCCAGGTAAATATTTTTGTTTCTCTGGACACAATTTTTTAATACTTTGTTTTATAGGAAGCTGTTGCAGTAGGAATAACAGCTGCTCTTCGTCCTCATGATGGAGTTATAACTGCCTACAGAGCTCATGGTTGGACATACCTCATGGGTGTACCCCCAATTGGAGTTTTAGCTGAGCTCTGTGGAAGAAAAGAAGGGTGTGCTAAAGGCAAAGGAGGCTCTATGCATATGTACACAAAGAATTTCTATGGTGGTAATGGAATTGTAGGAGCTCAGGTAAATATTGTTTTTATTACCTTTTAGATACATTTTTTATACCATACAACTTTATTATGAATTTTTCATTGCTAGATTCCATTGGGAGTTGGTATTGCTCTTGCTGCCCAGTACAAAGGAACTGATGGGGTCTGCATAGCTCTCTACGGTGATGGTGCAGCTAACCAAGGTCAAGTTTTTGAAGTTTATAATATGGCTAAACTTTGGAACATTCCATGCATTTTTGTTTGTGAAAACAATGGTTATGGTATGGGTACCAGTGCTGAAAGAGCTGCAGCTAGTACAAGCTATTATTCCAGGTATGGAATTAAAAAAAATCCTATTTGAATTTCTGATCCAAAATTTATATTTTGTTTTGATTAAACAATATTTTTCTAGAGGTGACTATGTTCCTGGTATCTGGGTAGATGGTATGGATATCTTAGCTGTTAGAGAATGTTTCAAATATGCTGTAAACTATGCAGCAAGTGGAAAAGGACCACTTGTCATTGAAGCTGCAACTTACAGGTTAAAACTTATTGAAGCTTATTTTGATAAAAAAAATGTCTGTAGAATAAATAAAAAAACTAAACATTATAATGTCTTGTAGGTATTCTGGACATTCAATGTCAGACCCTGGTACAAGTTATAGAACAAGAGATGAAATTCAAGAAGTTAGGCAAACCAGAGATCCCATTACATCTTTTAAAGAAAAAATTATTCAGTCAAACCTAGTAACTCCTGAGGAAATTAAGGTAAGTCTGTTGTCACATTCAATCTTACCCTACAATCTCATCTAGGATTATTTTAACTGTAAATTAATTATTTGTAATTTTGTCTAGAAAATTGACGGCGAGATTAGAACAGAAATAGACGAAGCCACCAAGCAAGCCAAAGCCGATAAAGAAATTGGTCTGGATGAACTGTCAGCAGACATTTATTCTTTAAATTTGGAGCCAAAAATTCGAAACGTTGATCCGTTCAGTGAACTCGTTCACAAGCGATTAGGACCAGCAGTCAATGCTTAGATAGGCGAGTTTAAACAAAATGTTTCACCTTGAAATTTGTGAAATCAGAGTTCCTTATGTAAAAAAGTACTATTTTGTCGTTTTTTTATAATTACGCTAAAGTGTTTGACACTAAAAATGTGCCAAGTGCACTCTGACCCTTCTGAAATTGCAAATGGAAAGATTATTATTTTCTATAAGGCATAGTTATTTAGTAACGTGCTATTGGCGTTGAAAGCATCAATTTCCTGAATTTGGGACTGCATACATTTCAGAATAACATTATTTTGCATGATCATTTTCACCCGCATCAGAACCACAAACCATAATTTTTACTAAATAACTAGCCTTGTAGAAATTGTGACAATTTTTATGTTTTTTTTTTTCCTGTAATTTCCGTCTGGTCAAACTAAAGTGATGATGTACATTTAAAATATAATTTTTACCAATGTTCCCGGAACAATGTTGTGCAGCTCTTGTTTTCGATATTAAATATTACCATTAAAATACTTCAATGGAAGTAACCTGCATAATGTTTTCCCGGTATATCAAATTGTTATTTTTTTTATATTTATTATTTGTTGGCATTGAATTATTTTTAAAATAGTTCTAAGTTCAAAAGTATATTTTTACTGTTACTCTTGGTAGAAACAACCAGTTTGAATCCAAAAACCAGAGCTTTTCTATTGTAAAATAAGATAAAATCCTTTTTTGTAAACAATTTCAGTCTTATGTAAATAAAATACATATAATTTTTAATAATAATTTTACCAATACCATTATTATTTTATTTTTAAATAAATCCTTGTTTCTCTACGAGTCATGTCCTGTAATATTTTGTGTTCAGTAAGTAAGACTTACATTCAATGTAAGTAATTAATTTTATTTTTACATGAAATAAACGTTTTTCAAACAACAAAATGAAATAAAAATAAATCTTTACAACTTAAATAATAAAATACAATTATTTACAATTTAAAAAGTTCTTTCATTTGCACTAGTATCAGCGTTTGAGGTTTTTACATCGAAATAGTGGTTATTAGGCCGCTTCCTCTTACTCGGCAAATGTTCTATCGTTATATTGATGCTTTGTTTTATAAGATCTGCAGGATTATCTGAAAAAAAAATCTGTATAATGAATTGTGTTCAGTTACACTTGCAAGGGGAAAGAAACAACGTGCAATAATTCATTAAATAAGCTTATTACTCAATTTTTCATACGGCAGTAACACAGGTTAGTTACATTGTTATATAAATGAAATAATTTAACAGAAATTATGACACTAGAGGTATTATTTATGTTTCTTATCAGAGATTATAGAAAATTCTCATATGAAACGAAAATGAGAGAATGGGATGAAGTTTCCAGCCTAAGCAAGAAAAAAAGCAAAATATGGGTTAAAAACTATTTTTATTTTTCTGTACATTCTCTATGTAGCTCAATATATTTATTAAATCGGTGCTCAAGCGCCTTTGCTGTAGGTTGATTTGTCCAGCTCTTCAAAATAGGCGCTTGTGGTAGCAATCACGTCTAAATCAAGCAATTTTTTTTTTCAAGTTCGAAAACAAATGGAATTTCGATGGAACCAAATCTGGTGAATAAGGTGCCTGAGAAAACAGCTAGAATCCTAACTGATGAATTTTTACCATGAGAATTAGCGATTTGTGGCAAGTGCACTGTCCTGGTGGAACATACTTTTCTTTTTGGCCAAACCGGGACGTTTACTGGTTCAACTGGTCAAGCAAGTTGGCGTAATTCTTAGAATTTATTGTTTTTACTTTTTCGAGTCTATAAAAATAATGGGCGTCCCAAAAAATTGTTGCCATAACCTTTCCTGCTGATGGAATTAAGCTTCTTCGGAATCGGTTCATTCCTAGCTGTCCACTGTTTTGACTGTTGTTTTATCTATGGCTTATAGTGGTGGATTCACGACTTCGTATCGGCATAAAATGTAATTGGTGAACACTTATACATCATCAAACACTTTGGTGATGGTACAATCACACGAATAGCTTTTCTCCTCTCTAAAACTTCAGTTCAAATATGGGAAGTTTGCTCTTATGATATGCCCACAGCCTTGGCTATTCCATCCAACTTCAGCCAGCAATCATTATTCCATCCAACTTCAGCCAGCAATCATTCAAAACAATTTTATGAACTTTCTGCACTATTTCTTCAGAAGGTGCCGTGCTTGGTTTGCCTTAACGCAGAGTATCCATGTTTAATTCTGCAACCCATGTTGTAGCTGTGAAGGAGCTAACTCGCCTAAAGTAGCTTAATTTCTATTCGCTCCGTGCGAAGTCGTGGAAAGGGAAGCAAAAGCGATACTAGCGCTAGCTTCGGATATTTCGTGCATTTTAGGGCAATATTTTGTAATTTTGGCATATCAAATACACGTATACATTTTACTTTTTTTTAAAAAGTAGGTAAAAACAATACAGTAAGCAACCGGAGTTGCTGTGTTGAAAATTGTACAAATACTAGCAAAAAAAAACAGTGAAACTTATATAAAAAATTTCACTATCAAAGTGGAAATTAAATCAAAGAAATAAATGGATAGGTATACAATAAGAAGAAAAATTACCTTAATTTTTGTAATAATAACAGTAATGCTGGAAATAGTAGACATCAGAAACTTGAAAGGTTTTATATATAAAAAATAAATTATCATTTTACGATGTTCTTCAATATCCCTTTATTCTTAAATGTTCATTCAGCAAGGACTAGATTTCAAGATTTCTGCCTTTGATTATTGTGTCTGGAACGCAATTTTGTGACTTACTGATGGGGAACCAGTTTTAATCATTTATTCTATGTTTTCTTTCAAACAAAAATGAAAATATAAATAACGATCCTTTTTTTATACATTTTAACTTCACGCTATTATTAAATGGTATTTTTTTATTTTGACAGAATAGACTAATTCTTCAATGACAACTTAGGCAACTTTTCATACATTTTCCAGTAAATACTGTTGTCTGGCTATATTTTATTATTGATTATACATAATTTTCTTTAATTTAAGCGATAAAAATATGTAATAATAATAAATTAATGTTTTATTTGTTTCACAAATCCATATACTTTTATTAAAACTAACATATATACTTTTTAATTACGAATTCTATTAAAAATTGTATTTGTCAGTACACGCAGAAATAGTCCATTAGTACCAAAACGAATTAGCGCTGCTGTCGCGCACGGAGCGAATAGGAGATAACCATTGATATGAAAATATTTTATAACTGGCATATCTCCATTATTTCCATGCTTAACAAAACGTAAAACTTTATACCTCTAAACGATTTATTCTGAAGCTAAACCAACAAAGCGTTGGGCTATTTAAATATGTGATCATATGCCGATAAATCGTGCCCTCTATGGTTTATGCCGGAAACTTTTCATCCTAACCTCGTACATAAGTGACGATTTAATGAAAAATAAATAAAAGAAGCACCCACCCTAGCAAATTTATGTCTGTTAAAAAATACTAGGTAGTTAAAATTGAGCAATTTAAACAAAGTCAATATTAATATGGGCACAGCACAAGCGAACCTGAATAAAGAAGATACCATTACGTCACACTTCATAAGACCGATGTTACCGAGGCGATCGATAACAACATACCAGTGTGCAAAATGACTTAATGGTATCTTCTCTATTCGGGTTTGCTCCTACAATCACGACAACCGCAAGTTAGGTAAACCAATAATGTGTCTAGAAATTATGCAGTTTTAGATAATGGTGTTAGACCCTTCCCGACTGTCGTCAATTACTAGACATGGTTGCCAAATACCAAATTAGAAATGTTAAAAACCGCAACTAAAATCACATTTTTTCTTGAAATCTGGTATTAATAAAAAAATATGAATTAAACCTATGTTTATATGTAAATAAATCAATCTTTTTATTCCAAGGTACGAGAAAAGTCAAAACACAGTGTACAAATTTATGAAATGAAGACACAAGTGGATAAAGGTGTCATGTTACACTTTTTCAAAAAATGATTTTTATGGCCTAATATACTTAAAATATACTATATTTTTCGTTTGCGATAGTTCTGATTTCCAATTTTGATAAATAACAGCTATTCATCAGATAAGAAAGTGTCATGAGCCATATATTATAATGCAATTCTAAAACTTACACTTGTTTTTCTCTAAATAATCTTTTTGTGACATGACACCTTTATCCACTATAAAATACAAATAGTTATAAAATGGAAACTATAAACAAAACAAAAATTCAAAACAAAAGTGTAATTACACTTATGAAGATAGATAGTAATGTAATTTTATTTAAGAATCAAGGATCTCAGAAACAGTAAAAAAAAGCTTTTCTTGAAAATAAGTCCATTATTTTACATTTAAAAGTATTTAGGACTATTTTATTTATTTAACAGCCTGATCAACCTTATTATAAAATTTAATTCCTAAAAAATAACGACTGATTTCATATAACGCCAAATTATGAATTACTAAAAAATCACGATTTCTGGTAACAATCGTAAATATAGTAAATATCTATCAATGTCAGGAAAAAATAAAAATTGAGGAAAATTCCCCATTATCTTAATTAAGATACTTATAAGTAAATCCTCTTAAAAATAAAAACCTCTATACCAATAAATATTATATTTCTTACCTTCTAATAAACCTTCAAACCATCTCTTCAACTCCATCAAACACTTCCGATCATGTTCATTCTTAACCTTAAACTGTCTGCAAATCTTACCCATTAATATAATGGTGGCCGATTTGAAATTAACATTCTCCGATGGAATTTTGTATATCAGAGGTTTGAAAAACTCGTTGAGTTTCTTGTATACAAATTTGGTATCTTTATTCTTGCAGAATAGGCGTATCGCGTAATCAGAAGCCAAGCACGGGTTACCTACAAAAATATTTCATTTAAATCAAGCGGAAATATAAAAACATATATAAAAAACTAAAGTATTAAGTTAATAAAATTTTAAAATTTATTTTAAGGGCAGAATTGGATTCTTATTTTTTTTTTATTTGTAAATGGTAATATGTATAAAATTTCAATTGATATTTAAGTAATTATTCCACTAATTTATTAGGAATGGATCGTAAAATAGCATAAGCAAAAAAAATATTCAAACACTGTGAACAATATTTTACCAAATCCTTTAACAATTCAATAATCAAATACGTAAGGACCGATTCCACCGTTGTGTTAAACGAAGTTTAAAATGACATTTTTACATTAGTAAGTTAATGAGCAATTTTTTTCACGTACTATTGTAAATCTTTAACAAACACAGAGTCTTTCCATTGCTACTGGAGATTTATGGAATATAAAAGTTGTTATGGTGTTTAGTATGTGTAAAATTGAAAATGGTATTTGATTTTATTTACAAGTACAAAGTACGTACTTTCAAAATTAAAATAGCATTTAGAAATAAAAAATACTCTTCAAATGAAAGCCATCTCAATGACTTGAGTATTACCTGAATGGGAAGCTGATTCACCTTAATTCAAATACTGATAAAAAATAAGTCAAATGAAGTATCAATGGCTGTGTTCACCATCGTAAAACGTGTTTTAAGAACCATAGAATTATGTTTCAAAATCGGTTGAGCTGACGCTGAACGATCGTCGTTTTCTTAACCTCAAACTTTAAGATTAATCATCTCCACGGTTTATCCCATTCACTTATTGAAGATGCTTTGAAACATATTAGACTATCACTGGCAACTACCTTAAATTTCCTGAGAATGAAATCTCTAGTTCAGGACGACAGTGATCATTAAAATTCATTTTTAAAAAACATACACCTATTAAATAACAAGTAATCTCTATATTACTGCTAATAACCCTCAGAGGTTGATGCAGTATTGTAAATAAAAAAAAATACTCACTTAAATATTCTTGACTAAGTTCATCAAAGATTGCATCACAATCCCATCTCTCTGTTTGATAACCATGATATTGACTTAAGAGACATTTTAAAGGAAACAGATTGTAACCTGGTTTTTTACACGTTTTCAAATGTACCAGCTGGAATAAAACTTTGGCCAATGGATAAGCTGCAACAGAATATTAACAATTAATACTTTGAATTTCAATTATTATTACATATATTGAGGTGAACATTCATTTCTTACTTTTGATGTCGACTTCTAAAGGCATAACGTCAATCCACGATGTCAAAACGGTAAAGAAAATAGGAATTGCTAGGTCTCCGGCATGGAAGAAAGCTTCACAGCAAAATGTTCTCATACGATTTATGTTGGCATGCAATCGACACAAACTCAAGAATAATCTTGTCAAAGGAATAGCGGCTTGTAAGCTACAACCTAAAATAATATTGAGTTAAGTACCAATTCTAAGATAAAAAGTTTAAAAATTAAACTTTAAATTTTATACTTATGGTCTTCTAAAAAGTAAAGTTTACCTCTTTTAAACATATATTCCTGCGTTCTAAAGAAGAAAGTTTCCAATATATTCTCAAAACCTTTCTCCTTTTCGAGTCTGACCAAAAGACCTAAAAATATTCTCTGCGTCCTGGTCATAAGAGGCGCTGGATCATATTTTCTATCGGGTTTGTCAATAATATCCCTCGATATCTGATAAAGTATTATGCTAGAAATTAAAACAAAATATTTTTTTTTTCAAGTGGCAAAAAATATATTTAAATAAAAAAGTTAATTACAAATATACAATACAATAAAAATATAATACGTATAGACGTTTTTAAATTATCCTTAAATATCAAAAAAACCAACTATATAGCATTCTCTAAAACATTAGCTGATCGCCGTCATTTTAAAGAATTGGACTCCAAAATACAAGAAATAGAAACTTCTAAATACTTGGGTATAATTATAAACCAACATCTAAAATGGGACTCTCATATATCATCATATATATCAAAAAAGCTTAGATTTATAATCTATAAATTTTATCTTTTAAAACAATTTCTTAACCAAAATCTCTTGATAAGCCTATATTTTAGGTTGGTAGAATCTATTCTACGTTATGGTATACTAGTATGAGGAGGCCTATATGAAACAACCCTTAGACCACTAAATGTCTACTGAAAATTATTTTCAACAAACAGCGATTATATCCTACTACTGTTAGAAGTTTATACATGAACACAATATGTTGTTACATACAAAAATATGAGGTACTAAAAAAACCTTTGGGTCATCAACACAAAACCAGAACTTGAATATTAAAATATCTGTGCCTAATAGTGAATCTTTCAAGAATTGTATAAATTACTTGGGACCAAAGTGTTACAATGCTTTACCTCTTGAGATTAAATTAACAAACAACACACATTTTAAAAAAAAAAATTCTCAAAAATTTGCACGGTAAGGTATAGTTAAAAGTTCATTATTAGATAAATAAGGACATCTACTATTAGAAAAAAATTAATTTTAGTCATAATCTAATATTTTTTATTTAACATTGGTGGCGAAAGGACCTCCTTAAGAAAACTGTTTATGGGTATAAGAGCATACAGTAGCGCTTCATCACATTGCGTCGAATTTCCTAGATTAACAGCTTGTAAGTAGGATCCCACACATTTGAATAGCCTTTGGCAACGCTGTAACGTCAAAGAAGGGTCAGGTATAAATTATAATAAATAATTTTAGAAATGGAATTTCCATTTTCAGTAGGTGGTACAGATATTTTTTAAATTAAATAACACCGACAAGTACCTATAATCTTGATAATTAATTTTAGATTTAAAAAATAATTTTTAGCATCAAAATAAATTTACGGAAATATCATATTTTCTTATATAAATGTAATATTACTTTAATAAGCGCCTAGTGTTTTATAATTGTACCTACAAGCCTCAGTTAAACAACATTTAAAAATTAAACAGCAATTTAGAGTGGTTGTTTTGTATCTGCCTATAGATTATAACAGCAAAATAAGGAAATGATTTGACCTAATTATTGTCATAAAACTCAAGTAAATTGTTTCTTAGTACCTACAATAAGTTATTAATTAGTAATTGATGAACTAATAATTATAATCTGATGGTAAGTAGGGTAGAATAATTGTTGTTTATTTATACATATTTTAAATAATAACTGAAAAAATTTCATGAAAATCAGATGAAAAATAGAGCGTATGGCTTTAAACTAAACTTACGAGATATCCTGGTTGCTCATAATACAAAACTACAGTTTATCAACTATTGTTGGTTTAATTTTTTCTCAAACGAATTGATTCATGAACATTCTGTAAGTGCTACATAAATAAATAAAGCATTTTCCTGTCATTACCAAATAAGTACAATTGACTGGTGAAATCGGGACTTGCGTAAATATCATTTGGTAGCGGAGGGGTTAAGTGAGGCCAAAATAAAATTTGTAAAATTAGAGACAATACAGAATTTCAAAATAAAATTAATGGCATCAATTTTAAACACTAAAATTATATGTGAGAAAATGTACTTACTCTATTATCTCATTGATTGGAAATCGTTTAAATTCCAACAAAATACTTTCTGGAATATCATCTTCATTTGGTATCGCTAATACTTTTTTTAAAAGAACTGTTATTTTGGCTACAAAAAAAATTGTGTTAAATATACCTATTGGATTGTTTTTAATCTGTAAAAGGAAATATTGTGAATAAAAAAATAATTACTTACCAGGTACCTTGGAACCATTAACCAAAATCCCATTACGGTGTCTCATATAAGGTTCCATCCCATAAATATCTTTCATATCAATGTTCTTCTTATCATGTACAATTTCAGCTATTTCCAACACATTCTTCCTCCACTGCTTTTCGCCTATTCCCTCAGGCACTTCCCTTTTTATCACAGTACGTTTCATTTGTGGCTTAATCCTATCCATATCTTTTATTATTAGAGACAAGAGGTCGCTTTTATTTTTGTTTTTAGTTAACTTCTTTTTCCGAAAATTTGCATTTAACTGTACATTGTTTGGATTTAAATTAACATTTCCCGGATCGGATTGTACATTTAAACCGGAAACAGAAATTGAACCCTCTGGTTTATCAGAGTCCTCATTCTGTATATTACTTATCTTCCTACTTAAATTAGTATTCTTATTATTAATTTGACTTAAACTTTCAGTTTCAATCAGGTTTTCCTTAATCCTATCATCACAGCCAACACTAGAATCATCTAAAACGTTACAAGCAGGTTGCTTCTGAAACATTTTCTGCTTTTCCTTCATTTGTTTCATTATTTTCGATTGAAGTTTGGTAATTTTCTTCATTGGTTTATGAGGCTTCGGTAATACCTCAAATTCTAATGATAAGTCTTCTTGTTCACTCAACTTCTTATTACAACCAGTGTCAGTTAATTGATTACAATCTTCTTCTTTGGCCCTTGTTTCATTCTTATCATTTTTTATATCTTCCTTTGGATACTTCCTTGGTCTACCTCGTCCCCTTTTTACGGGTACAGCCTGATTGGGATTACATTCTATTTTATTTTTCCTAGAGCAACTATCTTTTTCTTCATCATCTGAATTTAAGGTTTCTTCTGCTTTTACATCTTCTACTATTTTAGAAACTAATTCCTCAGAAGGTAGAAATTCGTTAGGACTATCAGACCCTGCAGTAGACTTTTTTCTTACCTTCCTGGGTATCCTTTTTGTCGCCTTTTTAGGAATAAATTCTTTATCTAATACGCCAGAGTCGGAAGTATCATCACTTGTCTCGCTAATTCGCCTTTTATTTTCAGATTTTAAATTGGATACTTCTTTACTGAAGCTTGCTGGTAGAGTTGTAAATTCGCTAATCTCCTCATCACTATCACATACCTTTAATTTACATAAGCGCGTTTTTGTTGGCTTTTGCAAGGGAGTTGGTTTTGATGCTTCTAAGCTAGGATTAATTTTTCTAGGTCTGCCTATTTTCCTCTTAGTTATTGGTAAAGGTTGACTACCTGAGGTTTCTTTTAGAACGTCTATAATTTGTTGAGTTAAATGAACTTTTTGTGCGTCTTCTGATATTTTTGTATAACTAGTATCTGTTTCCTCAACTCTTTCTAATGGTATGATTTTAGGTGCATGCTGAACCTGCCATTCTTTCTTGCTAATTGGTTCAGGAGACAATGGACATTCAGCTTTAATACCCATATCTTCTGTTTTTATTAAGTTAGATATATACCCAACTTGACCTGCTTCCTTGCTAATTGGTTCAGGAGACATTGGACATTCAGGTTTAATATCCATATCTTCTGTTTTCATTGAGTTGTCACTTACTGTTGTTTTATTTGATATATCAGTAAGATTTAGTGAAGATTTCTCAAACTTAGTGAATGACAGCTGTCTAGGTATTTTCGAATCTAATGTACTATTGGCAAACGATTGATTTAACTCACTGAAACTCTTATTAGATTGGAAAATATTTAAAAACGAATCAACTTCTTCAGTCAATATATTTTCGTCTCTCAAAAGGCTGTTAATGCAATTGTCTGCATTTGAAAATATTGATATAGTAGTAGATTCTTCTTCAGAGACAGACAGTCTATTTTTTGTGGGAGAATTTATAGAATTGTTTGTATTTAATCTGGTACATCTAGGAGAAATAATTTTAGCAAGATCATTAATAGGTTTAACCCCCGTTTCATTTGAATCATTCTCTTTTTTGTCTCTACATAATGCTTTAAATTTACTATTAATTAAATATTTGACATCTCTTGTTTTATTAGCAACATCATTTTTATTTCGATCGGTCGATTTTTTTAATTTACTTCTTTTACAATCTTCAGAAATTATAGAACAATCGCTTAAAGGACTTATAGCAGATGGCGCCGTAGATATCCTGGATATTGCAGCTAGACTCAAACTATCTTCAACTAACTTGGGACTGGGTGTCAAAAAAGTTGGTGGAGATCGCTGCGTGGCCAGAATTGGTGAAAAATTATAATTAATTGGATCAAAATTGGGAGAATTAACAGCATGATTACTGGTACATTCAGAAGTGTCATTATCATTATATTTTCCATTATCTGAAGATGAATTATCTGCAATTTCAGTAATGGGATCAGTTTTTTCTTCACTTTTTATTGCTTCAACTTGTTCTACATAATTTTTAATGGAATCCAAATTAAATACTTTAACGCCTTTAATATCTTCATATATTTTGGTATTGGTTAAAGAAAGGCCGTCTTTATCCGCATTTTCTTGTTTTACGAAATTTTTATAAATCTCTACATTCAAAATATTGATTTTTCTTTCATTAACGACATCCAATTCACATTTTATTTCTTGTGGGAATTCAACATTTTCTTGTTTCACAGTCACTTGAGTATTAGCACCCAATGACAAACCAATACTGTCTGGATTATTAGTAGAAAAATTAGAGATGGGAGAAGATGGACAAGTTGACTGACAATGTTTTATAGAAATTTGTTTTTCCAAAGAGGTATTATCACACAGCTTTATAGGTATATCAATGACGTTATCAATTGCACAAAAATCTTTGACATCCTTTTCTTGACTAGTTGAACTGTCTTGCCAATCAATCAATGAAACATCTTCTACAGATGTTGTATTATCACAAATGGCATTATTAATTTCACAACAATCTTTTACATCGTTGTCAGCGACTTCTGCATCAGGGCAATCAATTAAGGCACCATCTTCTACAGACGTGTTAACTTGGTTTGGCCTTTCTTCCACAAAATGAGGAATATCTTCTAATTTAATAATTGGAGAGGTAGCATCTGTATTGCTGACACCTATAACTCTATTGCATTCAGAATTTGAGTGATTTGATTCTGCTCTAGAAAGAGAATTTGTTGACATAACATCATTTTCAGAATGATATAGTTTAGATGATCCAGCAATAGAACTTGTTTGACTGTGGTCGTTTAGATAGCTAGGTAAGGATATTTCTGATGAAACTTCTGATCCCATATGAGTTTTGTTTTCTCGTATTAAACATTCTTCTCTCAGTTTCTTCATCAGTAATGCATTAACTGCAAGAGTATCATTACTGGGTTTTTCAAACAGGTGTTCCAATTCACCTTCAGTTTCAGATATATACCCTGAACTATCTATTCTGAATGTATTTGGTCTTTTGGTTGTATTTTTAATTTTTTCACAGACTAACTCAGCGAGCTTATCCAAGACATTGTCTGGTGTAATTTCCTGCTTTAATTTATTTTGTAACCACATTATAGGGTCTTGTTTAGAATCAAGTCTTGTATCGATGTTAGGTGAAGTTGTGGGATTTTCTTTTTTCTTATTGAAGAAACCTAAGAGACCTTCATTCGATTCATTTAATAGCATGTACATTTCATTGCAATTTTGTGAATTACATGCCAAACCTTCAACTTGGGGTATCACATTAATTTGATGTTCTGCAATATTTGGTTGAATCTCAGAGCATTTTTTCAGTGTGTTACAATGTATTGGAAAATGTTTTTCATTAGAAATAGTAAAGTTTATTTTTGATTTGTTGAGGATTTGCAAAGCTCTGAGGATATTATCTTGAGTTTTGATTTTTAATTTTTTCTTCACTGGCAGCCTTTTTTTCAGGATTTTTCGATTCTTTAAAAGTACTGTTCGTTTTAGATTTTTTTTCATTATATTATTAACTGGTGTTGTAGGTAGATTTTTAATTTTATTGCCACAGGAAACATTTGTCATATCATCATTAGGAATAGATTTTATAATGGGTGGTTCTTTATCAATATTATTTTGTGTGACAATATCTACTGGATTGTTAATATTTTTAGGAAATGTATTAACAATTTCTGCAAGTGGCGTAGATGGTGTAACAATAATATCCGGTATATCACTGAGGGTAATTTTGGGAATATTTTTTATAAACTTTGTAGGTGAAGGTGATCGACAAGGTGACAAAGGCATTGGTATATGATAATAACGTAATATATCAGTTACATAATCATCTGGTTCAGACGAGTATTCTTCTATGTCCTTCTGAAAGAAACTTGCATCTGTTTGTACACACACAGTCTTCATCTTTCTGATATGTTTCTTATTTGTTTTTGCTTCAATTAAAGACTGTTCTTTAATAAAATTGGCTTTTTTTAACCTTTCATTTTCTGCCTCAAGAAAAATTACTCGTTTTTTTAAAGAATTTGTATCGGACAAAGATAATTTCAGTTCGTGTATTTCTTTATCTTTTTGGTGGCATAGCTGACCATGTAATTTAATTTTATTATCCATCTAAAATACGTAAGAAATGTAGGATGTAGAAATTAAGATAGAGCAGATTAAAATTTAATATTAAGAAAAAAATAGGAAATTAAAGTTAATATTTTATCCCCTTACTGATCTATATAATATAATAATAATATAATATGAAATAGATAATGATAATGATTATGTGAAATTTTTGGGCCTTCATGTATGTAGATAAAAAGCTAGACTGGAAACAACTCTTGCACATGCTCTCTAAAAAGTTCTCTAGCCTAACATATCTAATTAGAAAAATTACTTCTACGGAAATCTGTAGAACGGCCTATATGGGGCTGTTTCAAAGCCAAATCTCCTATGGAATCCTATTATGGGGAAATTAAACAGAGTGGATGAAAATCTTTATACAGCAAAAAGCAGTAGTTAGAGCTATTGTAGGTGTCAAAAGCACAGAATCATGTAAACCACTATTCAAAAATCTTCATATACTTACTGTACCCTCTCAATTCATATTCAGTCCTGTTAATTACATAAAATATAATGAACATATATACCTTAGCCAATCAACCCTCCATGAACATAATACTAGGAACAAATTTTCGTTGATAACCCCACAACATAGACTAACTTTAACAAACAGAAGGTATGTATACAGGGTGTACCAATAAAAACTCCCAGGCCGGATATTTTGGTAAGTAATAGAGATATTTTAATTCTGCAAAAGCCAGTTCACAGAGCACCAAGAGAGCTTTAGTTTTAGATATAAATTAATTTTAAATAGGTCAATATACAGGGTGAGTCGGGAGGAGCGCACCAAACTCTAGGAGTATATTATACACCTGAAAATAATGTAAAAAAACTCATATGTTCTTATCCGATTTTCATTTTAAGAAAATGCTAAAATAGGTCGATTTTTATTCCCAAATTAAAAACAGTTTTACAATACAGACATCTGTCATGTGTCAACCCCCTCCCTTGCACTTCACCAACACCTTAATTTTAAATAGGTAATGTACGGCACATCATTGAAAAGGTAATTTAATGGGGAATTCAGAAATATTTCTGTACATTGCGTTACTTTAGTTGTACCGCCTCTTAGCGAAAAAAAAAAAGAATTACGTATTATAGAGTGTGACACTACAATGTGTAGTAGTACATCATTAAAAAGCTAATTTTATGGGGAATTCATAAATATGATTGTTCACTGCGATACTTTTAATTGTACCGCCCTCTATCGGAAAAAAACTACGTAGTGCGTATTATAAAGTGTGATACCTTATTTGAAAGCAAATTTAATTACTAATTCAATGCACTACATAACATTAATATAAATATCCTCCATATTGCACTTGCAATAGTTTGAAAATTAGTTATGAATTATTTTAAACATTATTATTGCCTACTTTATTTTGTTGAAAGAGCAATATGGAAATATTTATATTAATGATATGTAGTGCATTGAATTAGTAATTAAATTAGCTTTCAAATGAAGTGTCACACTTTATAATACGTTACAGGTTTTTTTATCCCGATAGAGGGCGCTAAAATTAAAAGTATCGCAATAAAAAGTCAAATTTAAGACTTCCCACAAAATTACCTATTCAATTATATGCCGTACATGTAATTTTCTTTTTGATTATCTGCTTATAATTTTCCCTTTTACATATGAATTTTCATATTTTCTTGTTTAGTGTTCTAATTTTCTTGTTAGTATAAAACTTTTTTGGCTTTCTTATTCTCAGTTTAATATATTTTACTTTCAATAAATTTTGTCACCGCCACCTATACTCACTTTCAGTAAATAACACCTCCGTTAGTACACTATTTATCCGCTAATTTAAAATTTACAGTTTACTGCATTGATTCGTTAAAAATCTAGATAGATGTCTTGACAGTCTGATAATTTTTACTTTTTTACTTTTTACTTTCAGTAATTAACATTATATCCTTAAAAATTTTTAAACTGTTTGTGCTTGTAAAACTATTTTGTGTTGTTTAGTTAATAATTGTCTTAAATGTGTTTTAATTAATTATTTTATTCAAAAAGACATCTGGTGGTTTAACCTAACCTACATTAAATTTTTTTAAAAAATACTTATTACACATGACTTTTTTAACTCGTTCTGTTAAACTTTTTGTAGCGCTTCCTTTATGGAATTAGTCAAGGTGAGTCAAGGTTATTGTTTAACTTTCTTTTGTGTTTTTTCTGTTATTTTGTATATGTTAAAGTCCGTTCATGCTTTTATAATTGTTTTTATTACAACTGACTCCTTGACATTCCATTTAGGTGTGCCTGATGATGAAGTGACAACTTCGAAACCGGTCGCCAATAAATTGACTTGTGAGAAATAAAGGACCTTTTCTTTAACCTTTACACTTAATCTCTCAGTTCTCTATGAACTGGCTTTTACAGAATTACTCTATTACTTACCAAAATACCCTACCCGGGAGTTTTTATTGGAATACAGCAATTAAATTGAACAATTGGATCATAATGTTTGAAACTGTTACATGTTAAATCCCTAATACTATAATATACATGTAAAATGTAGGTCATTTTATGTAGTTCTGATGTCACAAAGTACATTTATTTGTTCTATTCTAGAGTTGGGAAATATTTGGGGAATAGGTAACCAAAGACATCAGACTGAAAATTAGTATTTAAATTCCTCACTCAAAATAAAAAAATGTTGACATTTTCTAAACATCAAGTTAAGGGTGGTAAAAAGAGAAACGATAAATTTAAGAAGCTAGTAAAGTTTTTACCAATATGTTTCTGATTCATCTATTTTGTATGTGCTGTTTATTTTTTGAATGGTATGACAAAAAAAAATATCTCAACCTAACATATTTCTATTTTATAGGTTTTATGGAGATTTTCAACTGCCGTATGAACATAATTTATCAATAGCATTTTTTGGTTAGAACAAAATTACCATAAATAAACAAAAAATACAATCCAGCATCTCTACCATTAAACAATGATTAGTACCTACATATTATATAAATATAAAATAACCATAGGCCTAAGTGATAATTTTTTTAATATATTTTCTACATAATTTATTAAGATAAGATTAGGTGTATGTGTCAGTTGAATAGATTCTATATTGATTTATTTATTTAAACGGGATCAACCCCATTACAAAGCAAAACACATACAAATGATACAAATAATTGTAAATTATAAATTAAATTAAAAAACACAAGTAAGAGAAAAACAAAGTTAAAATTAAGCCTGTAACCTCAAGATTCAATTGCTTTATTACCCTCAATGTTCTTTCAATAGGTAAATGCATGCCATAGTTTGTATTGTGAAATGGAACATATTTAATTGCCTAAGGACTCTACCAGGAATATTGAAAGAAATCATTTCTAAGAGTTCCGGGTATATGACTAGACCATTTAATAATCTATAGATAAAATTCAAATCTGATATGTCTTCTGTACTTAAGTCAGCTCATATTCATTTCATTTAAAATCCTAGTATAATTGATAATATAATTGATGAAAATCCTGTCTGAATCTAGACAGTGAATGATCGGAAAGGGGAATCCTACCTATGCAGCAGAATTATTTTTAACTAAATAAAATTTAAAAAAATTCAGGCCATTAGTGGAATTCAAACTGCTTACCCTTGTCTTCGCAAGTTCAGACTCTAACCACTGAGTTCCCCCCCCCCCTAATAGTTCAAAATTATATTATAAATAAATTAAATTGGATACGGAAATGTGTTTGAAATTATAATCTATTTGCATTATAGGTAATATCCATGCAGTTAGATTAAAAAGCATGTGAATTTTGAATAAATATACCTTAAATTTAAACTTACTTCACAATGTAAATCTTGAACTACTTTAGCCTTTTCTTTCTCCAACATATTTAGAGCTCTCATTTTTTCTTCATTTTTTTTGTCCAACTGAAATTTTAAATTCATATTTTCTTTGGTTAGATTATTATACTCTTTTTTAAGTTCATTCTCAGTCTCTTTGTATGTGGCCAATTGCTGCTCTAATTCTTCCAACTTCTTTGAAGCAAGTTCTGTTGTAGAACTCTTCTTTGGAGAAAGACTATCTGAAGCTTGGCTCAATTCCTTAAGCATTTGCAATTCATCTTCTAAACTTTTAATGTGGCTGTGAGAATCAACTAGAGTCTGACTATATTTTTGTTCTAGACTTGCTTGGTGGTTGATTAATTCTTCACATTGTGTTTCCAACTGCATGTGTTTTGTTTTTAAAGTTTTCAGGGAAAATGTGCATCTTTCATTTTCTAGTTGTGAACGGTCATATTTACACTTCAGTTCTTTGATAACTTGTATGGTTTTCTTCAGTTTATTGTTGTTTTCCAAATACATTTGAAGTACCTCGCTACAAAAACAAGTTAATCAATTTAAATAATTTCTCAATATGATCATCAAAAGAAAAAACTAAAAATAAATGCCATTCTAATGCCGTAATATACCGAGATAATGATAGGAATTTGATAAGACAAAAAAGAAATTCAGGTATATTAAAAAAAAATAATTAAGATAATGAGATTCCAGTAACAGCTAGGTTTATGTATAATAAAAGATTAAAAAAAGCCTAAGTCTAAATATTGATAATTATGTGGCATTTTGAGATGTTTATTTTTCATATAAATAAACTGGTTTAGTAAAAAAACAATGTACAAATAGTATACTTACTCAGTTTTTATTATTTTTTGTTTAATAACACAAAAATCTACTTGTTTGGGTTCCATAGTTGCAGTAAAACGGGATAAAACACTTAAAACCCGGCAAAATATTTACTTATTTGTTAAGTATAAAAGTTCGCTTTTGTTCAAATAAATTTCTTATTATACACCTGCAATTGCAAGTGTATCACTGACATTACTTTGAAGTAGTTTGTAAGAATAAAATGTTTTATCAAATTATTAACCTTACATTACTCACACGCTAACGTTTTGATTTCGCAAAGTGACATTGACATTTTGTAAATGCTCGTATCAGGGTTGACAACTGTTTGGACCAACGACCTTGATATTAAACTGGATAGCTGGGTGCTATGATTGAACGTTTACGTTATCCGTAACGTACATGTTAGGCCGAATTTTAAAAGTAACGAGGCAAGTTCGGATGATGGAACACTGTTAAATTAGAAGATAACAGGCGGAAAATAACAGTAACGTGTTGGAAAAAGTTTTCCTGTTGGAAAAAGTTTTCCATCATACGAACTTGCCTCATTACTGTTAAAACTCGGCCTAACATGTACGTTACGGATAACGTAAACGTTCAATCAAAAGGTTCTTTCGTTCGCTGTTGGTGTAGTTTCCACCAGTGTAGTTTACACCAGTTACACCAATTTATTTACCCTAATGTACTTCCTCCTTATTCCTTATACACATGTCGAGTGTAATTCACTTATGCTAAATAGCTGGTGGAGAAAATATCCACCAGTGTACACCATATCGCCGACAGGAAGGTATAGTGGGTTTTACACCGGGCCAAACGAAAGGTTTGGTGTAAGTTGGTGTAGTTCATTCCTACACCAGTGGGACGAACGAATGAACCTATAGTGTAGTATCTATGAAACACCTCGTTAGTTGTTTATCGAAACAAACAAATATTACACATAGCACCCAATATATGTATGACATAAACCCAACTCCTAATTTCTAAAGTGTGAAAATGTACAGCTCATCCTTTTCAAGGCCCATATTTATAAACAGAACTTACTTGAGTCGGACTTGGGTAAGTCGTCCTTGAACGAAAATCGAAGTTCGGTTATATCGCGTGAATTTAGAGATGGGTAGTAACAAATTCGTAAATGTATTTAACAGTTACAAATTTGCTAATATCCATCTCTAAATTTCAGTGTAACACCGGAACCACCTAGAATTTTAGAGACGTTGTAACCGAACTTCGATTTTAGTTCAAGGACGACTTACCCAAGTCAGACTCAGTTGAGTTTTGTTTATAAATACGGGCCCTAGAATTTCCAAATAACGCAGTAATCCACAAAATATGCTTAATTTAATTCAGAGTCGTACGTAGTTATTACGGACATGACTCGTATATCTGCCTGTCTATCATGGCCTACTTTTGAAACATTTTTGTGGATCCACCATCCACCCCATTGTAAATTGAAATGTCGCCGCCCCTGGTTCACGCAGATGGAGCTGAAGAAAAGGATTGATAAAAGGCAACTTAAAAGAAGATAGTATATATGGCCTTATCATATTAGGTACTTGGCTTAATTTATTAAAAAAAAACAATGTTTATTTTTATCTTATCTTTCCATTTTGAACAAATTAGTTTGATTAAAAAATGTTAAAATTCTGGCAAAGTACAATTTTTTTAAATATTTTCTGCGGCTGCACATGCGCAAAACGTTTTATTACGACACCCTAGATAAAAAAATAACATGACACCTGCAGTATTTCGAAATAGAAATCAAATTATGACGTCTTTTTATTTTTACAATTAAACTACACATCTTGATATTCTTGAGTACCAAATTTGTACTAAAATGAATTCGATTTACAAGTATCAAACTATTATAAAAGCTCCCAGCTTCCTTAGAAGATTTATTGGAATATCGCAATTTAGAAATGCTTCATTTAAAGTTCAAGATGACAAAGATTTTGCTGAAAAAGTAGAAAATAGCAAGGATATCATTCTTGTAGATTTCTTTGCAACGTGAGTAAAACATTTTCTGGATAATTCTAATAAAATAGAAGATAAACTACATGTTCATTTTAGTTGGTGTGGCCCTTGCAAAGCTCTAGAACCAAGATTGCAAAATGTGATAGCACAAAAGAAAGGACAAATTAGTTTGGCTAAAGTTGATATAGACGACTTGGGAGAGTTAGCTGCAAAATATGAGGTATCAAAAACTTATATTTGATCTTATATACTAAATTAAATTCAAGGTCAAAAATTTGTGTAATTTACAAGTATAATTTCCTAGGTGTGGGTGTGTGCCTAACAAAATTCTGCTGCATGGTTTAGAATCGAGGGTAAAATTGAAACGATTTTGGATGTATTATATTAAATAATTTTTTTAAAGGATAAAATCCAAATTATCTATATATACCACTTAATAATTATGAAATTAAGCCAGAATCATCTCTAGATTTGATTTAACTATAATGTGAGAACAATACTGTCTTCTTAAAAACAGATGCAGTATCTACTGAGGGTCAAGCTGCGAAAATTAGGTTTAAAGTAATTTCCTTAGTCCTTAAGTGTTCAATATGGCTACTACCTATCTCAAAATCAGATTTTTTTGTAGATAAGGAATCTGTTTTAGGAAGGCAGAATATTACCAAAGGTTTTGCATAATAAGCAAATAAAGAGTGCTCATAAATTTAATTATTTTAGGTAAGCACCATACCTGCTTTATATATCTTTCAAGATGGTAAGGTTAAAGAGCGATTGATTGGACTTCAAGATGAGGATAAGTTGCATACCTGGATTGATAAAATATTGAAGAAATAAAAATCTTCGTTGAAACCTAGCTTTAAAAAGTTAAGTGATATTTGTTAAAACTTAAGTCAATAAAAATAAATTAAATCTATTTAGTTTTCTTTTATTAGTTTGGCTTTTAAAATTCATTTAAGTAATAGTCTAACTCAGATTTAAAATATGCCCTACTGGATATGACAATACCTTTTGGCTAAATTTGGCAACATTGTACCATAGAAAAATGTATATAAAATTGCTTTGTGGAATATTAAAAATGCATTTTTTATATCATAATTTGGACCCCGTAGCGACGTTCTCAATAAATCCATAAATATGCATGTCAGATTTCAGAAAAAATCTTAACCTTTCATTGCAGCATCCATCTGTACTCTGTATTTTGATCATTTCATTTCTTTTTACTTTTAATGAAAATTAAATAAAAACTATTTGATATATTTATAATTTAATTTTTACAATTTAATTCCTTACAGTTACTTAAATTAAAGTGCTTAAAACTATTTTTAAATCACAGCCATAAATCCTTTCATTTTTGTTTAGTGTTTAATAATTTTTATCCTTCTTTGAATGTTTGTGTTTTTTCTTTTCCTTCTTTTTATCTTTTTTATGTTTACTCTTTTTGTGTTTACTTTTACTACCTTTTTCCACCCATTCATCTTCACTGTCATTCAAATTAATTGTATCAATTTTGCTAGAACCACTAACTACTTTTTGAATAGGTAATTGAGGTCCGTAGGAAGTTATTTTAGGTTCTGAACTGTGGCTACTGGAAGGATTTTCTTCTTCTCTACTGTTTTCAATTATTTTGCAATCCATTTGACTATTTACCAATGCATCCTCAATTTTAATAGCTCTTGGTTGGAAAGTTATATTTGATAATATTCCTTGCTTTAAAGGTCTTATTTTTGGAACGAGGTCAGAAAGAATTGCTTCCTTAAACTCTTCAGTTTTCTTATTATTATCGTTTTCTTCTTTTTTATCCGTTTCCTCATCTTCACTTTCAGATTCGCTACTGCTTAAAAATACTGCTTTGAAGAGATCCACTTTTTCTTCCACCCCAATTTTTTCTGTTATATCTTTAACAACAGTCTCGTTATCGTTTTTATCTGCGTCTGGTTTATCTTCACTAGGTTTTAAAGGTTCTGGGGACATTTCTTCAGTTTTTACTATGGTTTGTACATCATTTGAAGTGTCAATATTCTCATTATCAGTTTCAGATATTGGCATTGCTTCGCTGCTAGAAGTTGACGGCAATGAAACACCTGGTTTCAAACATACATCGGTTTCATCTGTGAATTTTTGGTTTTCAAAAATCAGATTTTTGGTACGTTTTCTGTTTTTTAGTTCTGGACGGCTGTAATACAAATAATTAGAATTAGATAAAGTTCGATGAAGCTGGCATATTTAGAAGAAAGCCCAGAGTTTAAGATATTAAACTACTTTAAATATGACAAAAAAAGAGCTAAAACTTTATTGCAAAATTCTAAAAGTAATATTAAGTAATTTTTTTAATAATAATAATCTTTATTTTAGACTATTTACAATATATCATACATCTACATTTTCATTATGAAGAATAAAGAGATCTTTATCTGGCCTTCTTGTTTAACAAGGCAGATGTTCGTCATTTGACCTTCAGGAGTCAACTCCTTGCTTTAAGTAGCATAATTTGACTATTCTGGCTGAGAAGTTGATGAGCAGTAAGTGAATTTGTAGGTTTGGTCTGAATTTAATTTTGCCTGTTTTCGATAAAAAGAGCGAACGAAAAAACAGGATTTTCATTTACGTGGGCGATTCTCTCTTGTTGTCTATGGCTTAGCAGTGTACACTACTCGCGAGATTTGCCAATGACAGGTCGCCGATCTGACGCCCCGCCCACCGTTCAGTCCACCCGTCGACCAGAATTAGTGACCCTGGCCGTATTTGAGTAGACACTACAAACGGCGCAGTACGCCGACGATATCTGTATTTGCACTAGTCACAAATCAGCCCAAACAGCGAGTAGCAGGCTGGGTGATCATATTAATGGAACATTAATGAATTATCTAATAGAAAATAAAATGAAAATAAACTCTACTAAAACAGAGTCGATTATACTTACAAAAAGGCGCGTCCAAGGTGTAGACACGCCCCTTCAGGTTCAAAATCAACCTATCACAGTTAAACGAGAAGTAAAATATCTTGGTTTTCTGCTAGACAAGACATTATTGTTCAAGGCGCACATAAAAGACAGGATAGGTAAAAATTCGGGTATCCTGAGGTCTCTGTACCCCTTAATGAATAGACGAAGCAAGTTATCCCTGCCGAACAAACTTCTACTTTATAAAACTATATTTAGGCCTATTCTGACATATGGTTGTCCAGTATACTGCTCAATGCTAAATTCATATTTTTTACCACTACAAAGGGCACAAAATAGATGTCTGAGGCCAGCACTTGGCTACGATCGCTATACGAGACGACAAATATGCCTATGATTAAGGATTTTATCATTCAAACATCAGAAAACTTCTTCGCGCGATGCCTCCCTGAGGAATTGAGGGAGAGCATCACCTAAATTCATCAGGGAGACGGCGTGCGTAGGAAACACGGATGTATACATAAAAATCTAAGCATATATAGACGACAACAACAGGATCCATGACAATTCCAACAATATTAAACAATAATTCACACGGACTCAGGGTTGCAAACTTTTCAAATTCCATTTACCATACCGCGCAATTCAAATTACCGTACATGGCTTCCCAGTACCGTACACTTATTTTGTAAAAAAAACTATATGTTGTAAATATTTTTGTCGGGTTTCTAAAAAAAGTCCTCATCATATTATTTTAATGAACTTCTGGTCCTTATACCTAGCTTCTAAAAAAAAGGCAAACCAGGCCCTTTTAAAGAACATGTGCTGTAAAAAGATTAAAATGGCATTTTTACATTGGACAATGTCATTTTAATCTTCATTAAGTAATTTAATGAAATCGGTCCTTGCACAACTCAACGTCTTTGCTAATTCTGTTCAAAATACCGTACGTTTACCGTACTTTTTATGTAAGTACGGTAATTACCGTACGATTGGCAACCCTGCACGGACTGGATATTTACGAGATCTAGTCCGACGGAGGACTGAGCTATAAACTGACCGGCGGAGCCACGGCCGAGAGCGATTTTTCGTACTCGACCGTGGCACTTCCGGGTGGTTTATAGCCCACCCTCTCAGTAAATATGACAAAAAACCACAGACAAGTACAAGACTACACACCACAAACGACAACCCTGTTTTTTCTAGCTTTTTCAGGGGACAATACGAAATTAAGACACGACAAACCTACAAACACTGCTATCTATGCTCAGACATACATTTTTCCGATCGTAGATTTACCAATGGCAGGTCGCCGATCTGACGCCCCGTCCACCCGTTCAGTCCACCCGCCGACCAGAATTAGTGACCCTGGTCGTATTTAAGTAGACACTTAAAAAGAATTATATGCTCAGACATACGTTAATTTTTACCAGGCATACTTTAGAGAAAAAATTTTTTGTGGATCACTCCATAATTCACAAAGTTATTTCTTTCAACAAACCTATAACCTTTTGACAAAGATTATATAAATTTGTTAAATCAACAATTAAACGATCTTGATTATTTAATACTTACTCCATTAGTGGTTCAGGAACATTAAATCTCTTACATAGAAGAGCACAAGGAGTCCAATCCATTGAAGCTCTAGTAAGCTGTCCAAACATTTTCATTTTTGCAGCCTCTCTCATATCTTTGGTACCATGTAAAGTTTCTGCTTTCTTCACGGGTTCCAAAATATTACTCACATCCTCCGTTTGAGAGGCAGAAACAAACTTGTCTATCATCAATGAAGAAACATCAAATGATTTTCTTTTTTTACTTGCCTCTTTTTCTATTAGCAAAGCTTTATCTTTATGAGTTTGTATTTGTAGTGAAGGGGTGTAAGTGTCAGGTGTTTCCTCACCTAAATATTTAGCTCTTATGGCGGGATTTATTTCACCTCTACTAATTTCTTGTTCTTCCTCAATTTTGACTACCGCTTCAAACCGAGATTTTTTTACTTTGTGTTTTCCCGTGAAACTGTGTGGAATTACGGGTGGCGGATATATCTTTTTTAGCATCAATGGCGATTTAGAAGGTTTAAACATTCCAAATAAATATTGAACTTCTATATTAACCTTTTTTTCTTTATTTTTTTCCTTTACTAATTCGAAATCGTAATTGCTCATGTCTTCTTTCATGTATATATCATCATCTTCCTCTTCGAATGCTCCTACACCAAAAGCTTGACCTGCTATTGAGAATTTCTTATTGTTTCGATCCCTTACTACTAGATTTGATGGGGCAAATAGATTGACATGGGACCTGTCTAATCCTTTATAATCTAATCCGAATGTATTTGATTTAGGTGTTGCCAAGTTGTCAGTATATATGTCTGGTATTTTATATTGTTTATTTCCAAGTTTTTCTGGTATTTTGAATGGCTGCGGAATTTGACAACCGTAGATTTTTGCATTAGGATCGAATTCTTCATTTCGTGCTTTAATTTTGTCTTTGACGCCAATTTTTCTTAGAAGTAAATAACCAATAGTTTCATTACCAGTTGTTAATAGGGTTTCCAAGACGGGTACGCCCGGTATAGGGCCTTCAGAAAATACCTGTCAAAATATAATGTATAAAATAACAATGATGTTGACACTCTGGGAGGTAATGAATAGAAATTGATTAGATTGAAACAATGTAGAACTCTCTTTATTAACATTATTACAAATAATGCCAATTTTTATAATTAGTATAAATAATATTTTTTAAGAGGAATTCACTTTTTTTCTGCACATGTCCATAAATAAGCGACAAATACGTCAGAACTGAACATGTTAATATGCTATATTAGTGTGACTTAATTTGTGTTAACTTTTAACAAAATCAATTCATTCTGTCATTGAATTTGATATATAAGTTTAAGTTTTTTTTTTCAACATTTTTTTGCAGGTCATGATAAAGTAGTTTAAAGTTATGTAACCAATTATTTTTAATGTTTCAATGGATATAATAGAAATAAAATGTTAATAATTATATTAACCTCTATTTTGAAAAGTTTACAGTCATTGAAACACAATTACGTCATCAGTAATATAGCATATATAGTGTAGTGCATATTTTGAGATATTTTTGATTAAATGTATACTTGTGTAATGTTTTATATCAAACAGACAAAGGGACGAGTTATTTGCAGTTATTTGCAACTAGAATTTAATATTAAGGAATTTCTTTTGTACCATACAGTAAATTGATATGCTAAATTATTAAGTTTTAAGAGAACAGCATCAGCTGCCAATATGGTATCATCAGCATACATAACAATATAATCTGCTTTTATCTGTGATTTATATATAACAAGAAAATTAGTGGGCTTAGAATTGACCCCTGAGGGACACCACGATCAATATCTTTAAATGTAGATCCGTAGTCTTCAATGTTAACACAAATTTTCGTCATGTTGAGATATGAAGATAGCCACCTTAGAAAATCCCCTCTGAAACCCAAGGCAAATAATTTATTTTCAATTATATTCAGATCAATACAGTCAAAAGCTTTGGAGAGGTCAAGAAAGAGCGCCCCCACAAATCTCTTTTTATCCAACTGACTATATATGTAATTGAAAAAGCCCATAGTGGCACTCTCAGTTGACCTATCTGGAAGAAAACCATGTTGGTGATCTGATATATTTAAATGAAAATAACAACATGTGTTTGTATACACATTTCTAGAAAACTTTACAAAATACAGTAGGAACTGTAATTGGCCTATAATTTTCAAGTAATTTTTGGTTTCCTTTTTTGAAGATTGGTGTTACTACCCCCATTTTGATTTGATTAAACATGTGATTTCGCAATTGTGTGTTTAATCAGAGGCAGAAAGTACCGGCTCTAAATATGATAAAAAATTGCTGCTTTATCCTTATTAAAATTTACAAGTGTCCACTTTGAGGAGAAAAAATTATGTCTTTTTAATCTGGGTCAGCAATAGCATAACTGAATATAATTATTATATAAGTAGGGATCATTTTAAAGTTAAAGCAATGATTTACTAAGAATTTGCATGCAAGCAGTTAATAATTTTTTTAACTATTAAAGCAATTTGTAGATGCCTATGGTACCAAATTCCTCACTATCAAATGAACTCAATGAAAAACCTTACCTGCTTCCTCCTTTTTTTCGAAGTAGAATAATCTTTAGTAGCTCTAATTGTTTGGGGAGCAATTCCATATTCGCCTAAATCTTCTTGATCCATAAAATCTGCGGGCTTTTGAAGGACTTTCTGTGCTTTATCCTGTCGAGTACTTTTGAATTCGCTGGGAGTCCATCCTTCAAGAGACCCCACTGTATTGAAAAATCCAGCAGAAAATCCTCCTGTGAAGGCGCCGTGAAATCTGCGACGCCCTTGAGCATCCGTGGCAATTTGTTCTTCAACAGTGATGGGTCTTTTTTTCGGAATTGCATCTAAAAGTACATTTATTTAAGATTCGGTGTTATTTTAATTAAGTTAGTTAATACCTTCATCGTAGGGATCTAAAGGTTTTCCGAAGAAACAGAAATTTTCCTCCTCTTCCTCACTGGACATAGTTGTTAAAAGACTATATTACTTGCAAAATACCTTTTTATGAAAATACTTGTATTTTATAAATAATACAAACACGACAAGAACCTAACCTAAAAACTAGACCAAAAATACCAAAGTACATATAAACAACAAAAAGATCGAGGCCAGAATCTTAAGAAATTTGTCTTGCGTGATAATAGCAATGAACTGGAGTGGGGTAGAAAGCCAATGTGCATATTGTATCAATAGAACAATATGCGACTCTATGGGCGCAGCCATTTTTATTTCTCATCTCACTCGGGAGTATTTATAATAACCATTTTCTGTTTCACTTTGTTATTGTTCAATCCACATGCTGGTGGATCAGACAATAACAAAGTGAAATAGAAAATGGTTGTTATAAATACTCCCGAGTGAGATGAAAAATAACCTGTCTTTGCCCATAGAGTCGCATGTAAAGCCTATTGACAAGCATTCTACCCCACTCCAGTTCATTGGATAATAGGAAGACACCAACGGTTAGGAGCCGGTTAATCGCACTAACTCAGGCCCGAAATTAAAACGAAGAAATTTGGTCTACGGCTTATGTAAACGCCCTGCCCAATAAAAGTTTTTCTGGATGCTCACATAAGCCGTAGTCCAAATTTAATGTTTTTTTCCATTATTGGCCATAGTTGCTCATAGTGTTGTAAATATCCGTATCTTTTTAGTATTCGGATAATACGTATTCGGAACCAAGAGATATTCGGATTCATCATCCGGATACGTATCCATATTCCATATGTGAGAAGTCATAATAATACGCAACCGTAAATACACCGCGACATGGGGAATCGGAACCGGGCAGTGTTGCTAAACCTAGCAGAATTTGTTTGAGAGTGAAGTAGCAGAAGCTTTTAATGTTTTAGAATAATAGACTCAAGAAAATCTCAAATATTTTGTTTTTATAATAATATCAGAAATAACATTTCTCATTCATTGAATATTATTTATATTTATACAACTTTGTTACCATTAATACATGCCGACTAACCGACTACGAATTGCAACAAGGCTAGTTAGGGCGATTCCGAATTCCGATTTCGCATCGGTTGCCACCCGCAAATCTCGCAATCGGCTCTGTTATGAACAGAGTATATGAAGCATTCGATTCGTGTATGCGGATTTCAGATTTTGTTTCTGTCATTTTTGATTCCGAATCCGTATTCGAATTTACACATTGATTCCGGAATATCCGGATCCTTTTAATATTCGGATTCAACGGATTTTTGGATACGTATTCTTACATCACTAGGACTTGCTCAGGCTAACTGGCTCATAACAGTGGAGGAAGAGATATTTTTTTTCAAAATAATGTGGGTCTCTTACTCATGACAATAATAAAAATTTGATAAAATTGCTCGGCCACAAAGCACACATATTTGAACTTTTCATAATCGTTTCTATTATTTGGATTTCTTGTGATAACAGCGCCAAACAACATTTCATCGCGGATTCCCAGGCTCCAGGGCTAATTCCTTACGGTCTGCGACTTGCCGTGGAATCTGTTTAAGTCGACTAGCCCCAGCATTGCATTTTTGAATTATTTGTAAAATATTATACAAATTAAATTACAATTTACAGTTACAATTATTTACAATAAACATATCCAAATTTTTTATAAAAGTACCTTATACTACATACAAATCATTTAAAACAATCCTTTAAAAGAGTAATTGAGACACAGGATACTACATGGACACTCTTTATACCTACATTCCTAAAAATCCATAAAAAAGGAAAATTTACATCCGTTTGTGCTCCGTCAGATAATCAATCAAGATAATCGATTGATTATCACATGTCTTATTTTTACCTACAGCTCATTGCAGTATCCTAATTTCAAAGAAAACCATTGTAATGCGGTCCATTTTTGACCAGTTTGGTCATTCCCTAAGTCCCTTTTTGCCTTTTGTTTGGGTCTTTTAAAGTCCCACTTCCCTGATTAACAGAGAGTCTAGAACACACCAGAATATTCGATGAATGGTACGAAATTGCAGTTTTTGGCGAAGGTACCTTATTCGAAGAAATTGGTAGAAACTGCTGGAACCTTTACCTTTGTGTATAGACTCTTTTGTCATTGGAAAGTAAGTTCGAGTTGAGAAATTGCTGTGAGCAGATCAATATATATATGAATTAGTATAGTATTTGATTATTAATAAATTAATTATCAGGCAACACACTTTGGTATAAATTACGTATTTTTTTTATTTATTACCATATGCCTATGAATACGGTTGATGTACTACCCAATATATTCGTGAAAATGTCCGCCCAATAAACGTATATTATTTGTCCCATGTAAAAGTCGATTACTACTAATTTATTCACCTATAATAAACTGTGTTTACTATACGTCTATGTTAAATTTATAGTTGTAGTATATTTATACGAATACACTTTGGTATAAAAGACGTTTTCTATGTACTACGTTATATACTTTTACGTATGAACACCGTTGATAAGCTACCCAAAATATACGTAAAATGTCCGCGCTAGAAAAGTATATTCAAAAAAATAAACAATAAAATTCTAAATGAGAAACTTAACAGGATCTTTCTTTAACAAACAAACAAACAAACAATATACCGTAAAACGGGGTCACTTTATGACAGCCAGGTGACTTTGTGACAGATGGTAGCGCGCGCACCTAATCCCTAACAGTTTCCAGATTTATCAACCGATTACGTCATAATTGTGCTTAGAGCCTACCGATAAACTCTCGCGCACATCAGTGAGTCAGTAAATGTTGTTGGAGGAGGCAGCGTGCTGTACGGACCATAAATATAAATACTAGGTAATTTTACTAATTTACTTTTCTCGTATACTTTACCTCACTTAGCTTAAACTATTATATGTAGCCAGTATTTGAATCATATGTAGTGTTTGTTATAGCTTAGCTTATCGATTGAATAATTTATATATTGATAATTCTAATTAACAAGTGAGTGACGCCATCTTTAATAAAATTTCAACAAAATGCGGGGTGAAATTGTGACACAATTTATTTAATATTTACAAAATACGAGGTGGCATTGTGACATTTGTTTTTTCTTTATAGAAATGCCACGAAAGTATCAGAGGCAGCTAGGGTCTCGCCAATATAAAAATTATACTCAAGAAACATTACAAGAAGCAATTCGTAATATAAAAGCAAAGAAAATGAGCATACGTGAAGCTGCGGAGAGGTATAAATGTAAATAACAGAAAAAGAAGTATATATCTACTTATCTCCTTTTCTATGTTTTAGATATGGTATTCATCGGAATACACTATTTTTAAAACTCCACGACAAACATAATCTTCCTTCTGGTGGTCAAACTGCGCTGACCAAGGAAGAGGAGGAGTCCATCATTGCACACGTGATTGCTGTATCAGTTTATGGTTTCCCCGTGACGGCTCATGACCTGAGATTTATAGTAAAGGCATACCTAGATAAAAGAGGGAAAAAGATTAAGTGTTTCAAAGGCAATTTTCCTGGAAAGGAATGGGTGGCTTCATTTTTGAATAGACACAAGCAGGTCTTGGTTAATCGAATTGCTCGCAATATTAGCGTTTCAAGAGCCGCAGTTAACCACGAAATTATAAACAATTTCTTCGATCATCTCGAAAGAGAGCTAGAGAATGTTCCACCTAGCTCCATATGGAACTACGATGAGACTAATCTTGGAGATGATCCAGGTGCAACAAAGGTACTAATACGACGAGGTACAAAGTACCCAGAGCAAATTCGGAACGCCACAAAGGCATGTACATCGCTGATGGAAACGCAGCTGGCGAAATTGCACCTGTATACGTCGTATATAAGTCTGAGAACTTATGGCAGAGTTGGACCGAAAATGGACCTGAAAATTGTCGATACAATAGAACCAAGTCTGGCTGGTTTGACTACCAGTGTTTTGAAGATTGGTTTATTAATACAATGTTGCCAATACTTCGAAGGCAGGATGGTAAAAAAATTCTGATTGGCGACAATTTAAGTTCACATTTGAATATTGATGTCATACGTCAATGCGAAAAATATAATATATCTTTCATAGCATTGCCTCCAAATGCTACGCACTTAGTGCAACCTTTGGACGTAGCCTTCTTTCGACCAATGAAAGGTAAATGGCGAGAAATCTTACATGAGTGGAAAGACACTACCTTGGGTAGTAGATGTGGAACAATACCCAAAGATAAGTTTCCCAGCCTGTTAAAGAAGTTGATGGACACCATGAATAATAGAGCAGTCGACATTCTTCCAGCTGGGTTCAGAAAATGCGGCATATCTCCCTTAAACCGTGCAGAAGTGCTGAGTCGGATGCCCGAGGAAATAATGGACAACCAAGGTACAGCCATAAAAGAAGCATTGAGCGATAGTTTTTTAGAACAAATACAAAAAAAACGTGACAACCTCACTGCCTTGCGGCAATGCCAGAGACGTAAAAAAGTTAATGTGCCTCCTGGACAAAGTATAAGTGCCGCCGACGTTGCCGCTGATAAGTCTTCTGGGTCCGGACAACAAGAATTAGTCGGCAAACCAAAGAAGCATCCTTCAGTAACAGATCTTGTGCTGTCAACTTCGAATAAATCCATACCATCAACATCAAGTCATTCTGAAATGAAGAAGCGTTTTATTAGTAAGGGGTTACAGAGGAGAACGCGTGACGATGATTCAGAAACAAGTGAAGATTCGGATGCTCTTACATATAGGGAAGGTGATATGTCGCCAATGAGTGAGTTTGATGAAGGGACAGATTCGTTTCTCGCTGAAGCAAAGGCTGATCAAAATCCAAATATTGGGGACTATGTAATAATACAATATGAAGGATCTTTATTTCCGGGTGTCATAACCAAACTCGACGAAGCAGGAATTTCTGTCAGCGCCATGGAAAAATGTGGGGCATACTGGAAGTGGCCCGATAGAAAAGACGAGCTCGTATATGAATTATCCGATATTATACAAACGAAAATAAATGCCCCAATTCAGATATCCCGTAGAGAGATATTTCGTGTATCAGAAATGGATATTTATATGAGAACTTAGGGTATTTATGGTATTATTAGGAATTAACCTTTCTGTTTTGAATGATATATTATTTTTTGTACTTTTGTAAAGATTTTTTTAAGAAATAAACCATTTTAATTTAAATCAAAATTTCATTCGGGGGCACTTTGTGATACAGCAGATACTTGTGCTCACGTTTAGTGGGGTGAATTTGTGACGTATCTAATAATCAAGTTGTTATTGCAGCTTATTTCTGTCACAATTTAGCCATGTTAAACGCCGACTTTGGGTTTGCGTGCATATTTATAGTTGTCACAAAGTCCCCCCAACTTTTGGGGTGAAATTATGACAATTATTTTTGTAAACCACGGATTTCCTTCTAAATATTTTCAAATTATTTTGTTGAATTTTAGCAGCTGAATGATGTTAGTTTAATACGAAACTTCGAAAAAAATTATTGCTTTCTCTTAAATCCTGAATAATTAACTAAAACTGTAAAATGTGTCACTAAGCCACCCCGTTTTACGGTATATCAAAATAAAAATCTTAAGTCATCCCTTTTATATGTTGTTCCAGACGTGCCATAGCAATGTTTAAGCCAGTCTTGTATGTCACATTCATATGGTCACATTTAATGGTTCGGTCTGTCAATTCGCCATCTTTCCTATAGGTATGCCTTATGGTTTCTGCAATAGAACCGTTTTTATTATAAAGGTCATATTACTGTTAAAAGAAACTTACCAAAAATAACCACCATAACGATACAATAATTTTTTAATTGTTGCTTTTCACGGTCTGGCTGGTTAAATTTAATGACAACTGGGTTCCTCGCAGAAGGTATTTCATAATGTTTATATGGTGGGTACAATTCCTAACATGTTTACTCTGCCGATTCAGGCCAGGCGTATTTTCTGCAAAAAGGAATTATTATAATCACAGCCAGGGCTATTTTCAACATTCTATGAAATAAAATCTACTGACCAATAAAATATGTAAAATGAATGTGATTGGAATAAATAGATGGCCTAAAAAACCCTTATAAAAATAAGATAAACAAAAGTTAGAAAGTAAGGTTATGTTTTAGAATTTCTGTAAGCATCTTTACACACTGTACCTACCTATAAAACAGCAGTTTTTGTAAAATGCAGGAATTATTGAAGGAATAGCTAAAATAAACCAGTAATATTTACCTATGCTTTTAATCAATATCTTTGAACACGTGTACACAAATGAGTATGGTAGAATGACCTACCCTACACAACAATGTCACAGCAGAAATATGCGCAAACGCAAGAGTAGAAATGAGAAGGGAGCCTGAGTATGCCATGTTTCATCCGCCTTATCAAATAGTTTCGTGTGTATGGGGAATTTGTTATAAATGTTACATAATAAAAAAGTATGGATATAATATAAACAAATATACCAACAAGCTTTTAATATAAATAAACCTAAATGTATACATATTATTTACTTTTGGCTACTAGTTTATCGCCAACAGAAAATATACGTGTAAGGTAAATTATATTTAAACGTATAATATACAATATAGTATCTATAAACGTTTAATTTATCCGTTAAAAAATGTCAAGTATAAAAACGTTTAAGAAATCAACCAAGACGAAATTTAAACGGGAGTTACTAACGAAAAATACATATTTTAATATTACATAAATTTATATTAATTTAATTTAAATAAACCTAAACGTATATTTGGGCACACTGTCTATAAATCGTTCATCGCAAACTAAAAATAGTCGTATATTGTTAGCTATATTTAAACGTAGAATAATTTCCATTAATATACCGTAGGATCGTATAAAAAAAACGTATATCATTTAAAAAACGGTATGTATAATAATCGTAAACGCATTCGGAATCAACCAATACCAAATATAAACAAGAATTACGTATAAAATACGTTAATTATACCAATGTGTGCTGCCTGGGTTAGTGTATAAATAAATTAGGATAATAAACTGTTTAAAAAAAATAACCGTACACTAATGTAAATAAAAGACAACCGTACAGCTTGTCCATTATCTCATTTTCTCGGGGAGACAGTAGACTAATAGCATTAAGAGACAAAATAGATAATAAATATATTTAAAAAAAAGGTCTTTGTACAAAATTAAAATGTCTTCTTGTCAACTAAAACTGGTAACTAAATAAGTGTAACTAATAACCAAATTCTTAAACATACATGAAAATACAACTGAAAGACTAAACTCTGTCAAATAAATATTGAAGTACCTAGGTGTCCAAATAAGAAAGGACGCCAGCCATATCTAATAGAATCGTACAGATCTGAGATTTTTTTTACAATATTTAAAATACCTGTACATTTTTGTGTAGGATACTTTGTGCACTCGTATCCATATTGCCTACTCATATACACATATAAACAGAAAAATAAACAAGGGTTTATGATGTTTGAGCTGTTTTTCACATATCCTCAAATTATAAACATCTAAAGCACCTCACAAAACAGGCGTTCAACCAAAACATCCATTGTTAAAATATAAGCCATCCAAATGTTAAAATGCAAAATAACATCAGACGAAAATGGATAAAAAACGGCTACTTAGGGATACTGGGAACGAAGTAAAACTCACTAAAACTCACGTATAACATACAAAAATAAATGCGTCCATTCTCTCTTCGTGTCCAAAGTCTTCCGCGTCTCCACCTATTGAAATCGGGTTATACAAAAATAAACAAACATTTTTTATTAATTGTCAGCAATTTTATTTGATAATGTAGTTATTTCATAATTATTTTTCTTATACGTTTCTGTATTATTATCATCTTCGTTGTTCAAAGGCTTCTTTTCTTTGGGCACCATTAGACACAAAACTCCAGCTAAAATTTCAAAAACCGCTACCACGAAAATTGGTAGTTCACATTTTTTGTCCATAGAATAAGCGAAAACTATATTACTAATTGCTGCTCCTGTGCGACCAACGCATATAACCAAACACACTGCTATACCACCAACGCTAGTTGGAAATAACTCCACCACGATACTGGTAATGCTCAAATTGGCAGTCATTATGGTTGACTGGAATATACAAGCCACTATAAGGTTCTGTGTTGCTGATCTCAACCAGTAAATCGATCCAGCGCTTATGCCTCCAATTACAGACAGCACCAACGTCATGTTTTTCGAAGAAACCTTTGTAGCTACCCAGCAGCAAATTCCATTGAAGATGAGAGCGGTTAAGCCAGTCGATACAGTGTTTATTATAACTGATTGGTCGAAAGAAGGTTGACAGGTTTGATTCGTTATTAATGGCAAAGAAGATAAATCTTTTAAAGTAATAGTTGTATTGGGATGAAGGGTTTCGTATCGCTGAAACTTGATGAAAATTTCTGGGAGCCAAAGACCGAGGCCAAAGAGTCTGGAACAAAAAATTATTTTAAATGTTTCAACATTTCAGTCTTTCAGTTGAAATTTTAGGCATTAGGTATTCAAAAGTAAAGTGTAAGAGTAACAGTTTTAACAAATTTTAGTGCGTCAAAACTAAATGAAAACGTCTTATACCTACAAGTGTCCAAATTTCGAAAATGTTTCCGAAAAGATGTACCTAGAGGTGCACTCGTTACTTAAAACTCATATCAGAAGGGCGTAAGAGCCAGGCATTGCTGCTTTTATAATTTTCAGAAGGACAAAAACACCTACATGCTGGATTGAGACTAGGTTGCAAAATTTTCCAATGAATTGAAATCTTCTCATCTTTCTATAACGGTAAAAACAACAATTTCATTACAAATTCTAATTTTTAAAACGTTTTTTTGCGTCTCCTGAAAAAGTTACCTGTTGGTTCATACGCCTTTCTGATATAACGCCCTCGATATATGGCTCGATTTCAAAATATAATGACAACTTTAAAATAAGTGTTCTAAAAGACATACATATCGTTGGCACAAGAATAGTGACAAAATTCAAAAATTTCCAGTTTCGAAAATGTACATCAAAATCCGCATATTTTTATGTGGAAGAACGACACATTGCTACTTCCAAAAAGCCAGTCTCTGTGTTCCTGTGCCCACTGTAGACGAGCATCTATATGTCTGGGAAGTAACCTGGGTAGCTATTCACTAAGTCATGGGAGCGCTCCCATGGGAGTGTTCCCATATATTTTGCTCTCTTACTCTTAGGTGGGTATATCGTGCTTACTCCGCCCTAACTACGCATGTACCTGGGCTAAAAGTGAGTAAGCACGATATACCCACCTAAGAGTAAGAGAGCAAAATATATGGGAACACTCCCATGGGAGCGCTCCCATGACAGTGAATAGCTATCCTGGGTACTGTTAATGGTCTCCTAGATCGTAAATTGGCTTCAGCAAGTCTCCGCCGTATTGTGGTACTAAAAATGAATCGACTGTACGTTCTTCTAAAATGAGTTCGGACAGCTGAGACTGTTATTTTGGTTCGATTCGACGTACATAACCTGCTACATACCTATCTTCTCTTGGATTATAGTTACCCTAGGACGCCCAGTTCCACGTCTCCAGTCAACGCTGTTAGTTTCCTGGTACAAACGCACTATTCGGATAACTGAAGCGCGGGGAATCCCTAGTCTATCTGCGATTTGATGATTCGGCAGATCCTCATCATGCAAAGCCACTATTCTTGCTCTTTTGAACACTGAAATTCTATTGCCAGGCATAGTTGCAAAGAAAAACTTCAACAATCACTTAAACACACAAAATCGATATGAACAACTTTTTAAACATTTGTACCTAAAATTGTGGGAAATTGTTTTTGTAAACATTTTTAAATGCGTGTTAACGGTAAAATAAACAAAGATTAAATGTACAAAACAGCAGCCATGATAAATATTTCGTTTTAATATTTACGAGGGAGGTCCAAGAATTTTGGCGATGTGAGTAGCACTTACATAATGCGAACTATTGACTCTTTAAAAAATATGACACTATTTTCTACAGAAAAACGTTACATATTGTTCAGATTACGACACACTCTGAATAGCTAGAAGTAGGAAACGTTGTTCGTGATAAAATCGCGCTAAAACAGTTATTCAGAATAGTGACATTAGCCCTATCTATCAGCAGGTTTTTGAGATATTGTTATGGGACCTTATTTCAAATTAAATATGAATAATTTGCGGTAAGATTATGTAATATAGTAAAAATTTACATTTTTGAAAATATGTCATTATTCTTGAGAAACAACGATATAATGTAATATGTACTTTTCTGAAAGATTGTCATAATTTACAAGTGGAGATGAAACTATAATATTTTTGGATCTTTTCTTAGTGTTATCAAAGCAAATTTATTATTTGAACACAAGGTGTTAATTTCCAAAAAATATTTAAAGATTTTTAAAATACAAGATCCTCAATAAGCTTTACAGGACAAGAAACTTTAAATTGGATGTCCTCGAAAAACTGTATTTTTCAGTTGTACCATTTTTCTTGTATACCAACGATATTATGTTAGACTTTCATACACATAAATTCTAAATCATCCATATGCTATCATAATCATCATTGATAACATGCAGAGATACTAAATAATTCGTACATTCTGCAATATTCAAAGCTTATTTTGATAAGACTTTAATAAGTAGTGCCAACGAGTAAGAAGAATTAATAAAATATGCCAAACTACGTTTTGACAGTTACATATAATTTAATACTTACCCAAACATATTACAAAACATTATTCCAGTAGTTAAAGTAGTTTTCACGAGTAGGGGTGCTCGAAACAATCTCTTAATTTGCTGTAATATCTCCTTCAGGACTCGAGCAGTTTTACCGGTAATCACAACTTCGTTATTTTTAATACCAGAATTTACTTCGCTAATTATATTTTTAACTGGAAAAAATTCCCGGCATTTTCCATAATTCGCGGAATACATTTTTTGCAAAACAGCTAACGCTTTCTTCGGATATCCTCTGGCCATGTAATACTTTGGACTTTCTGGAAGCCGTATGAACCAAAGTCCCACCAAAAGATCTGGTATTGCTAGTATAAGGAGAAACACTCTCCATGGTGTTATGGCGAAAATATTTCTGAAGTTGTATTTGATATCCAGAGGGAGGATGAAATATGCGATTATTGGTAACAGCAGCCATGCTGCTACGAAGAACATTCCACAGAGACAAACGCTTGTAAAGCGTAGTTTTGGAGGATGAAATTCAGCTATGTATGTGTATACCAAACTACCTAAAATAAATAATAGAGATTTACAAATAAAGTAGATATGACAATTTTGCTAAAAAAATGATAGGGTTGCTTTCACGTGGTGCTTATATTTATTTATGTCTAGCTGTAAAAAACCAATGGAGTGAAAATAGAAATTTTGTATGTCAGTAAAAAATATTTTGATAAGAAGTGATACTGATTTTTGTCAGTAATTTTTTAAAGCCTAATTTTTAAAAATATGTAGTTGGAATGAAATGAAATTGATAAATTTTACTATTTTAAGTATTTTTAACAAACATCTCTATAAAGAAATTTTTTCTCGAATTTTTATTGGTTTAATATTTACGTAATTTGCGAGTCATTTTCAACTAGTTTGGTCATACTATAATCCCTTAAGTCACTCTCTGCCTTATTTCGGCCAACACTTATCCGATTATCAAAAATATTCAAAGAAATAAGTCAACCCTGAAACCCAAATTGATGATACGCCTGTGGTAAATTACACGCCTATGGCGAACGCTGATCAACAGTCTGGGGGGCTATTTTCAAAGTATGGGAGCACTCATTTCTCTCAAGATTCTCATCAGAAATGTCATACGTCAATGTGGAAATGTTGTTTTTAAAGGCAACGAGGAGTAAAATTTTTAGGAAGATTTTAATTCTCTCTAAATAAACCGAGAGAAACAGTCAGTGAGTTCACACTGGCCCTAAGAGCCCTAAAAATACGGTTTTACGTTGACGTATGACATTTCTCTTGAGAGAAATGAATTCTCTCGAGTTTGAAAATAGCCCCCCTGGAGCACTGGAGTGCGTTTAGAAACCTCGCACGGCGCGTCTGACCGTATACATTAAGCCGGCTACTCACTACGCGTTACTTGCCAAGTACTTGCCAAGTACTTTGCAAGTACCATGTAATGTGTATGGAGACTTGTATAGACTCAGCAAGTTACTTGTACTTCCCGTCGGTTGTCGGTAAACGGACCGAAGTCAAAGGATCCGAGTAAAGTGTTTCGCTACCCTAAATTGCTACTTTAGAAGGCGCGCGTAATGTAGACGATTTACTTGTACTCGAACAAGTACTTGCCAAGTTCAGTCCAAGTCAAATAACTCGGCAAGTAACGCGTAGTGAGTAGCCGGCTTTATAATAGGGTCCAGAAGCTTCCAAAGCCTTTACCTTTTTATATTCCGAGTGTACCTCATTCTCTAAAATTAAACATATTGACATTTTAGTTTGCAGAGCAAATATTTTTCACCAAATATCTTACATAATCGTTATTTATATTCCGCCTCGTACATTGGTCCCAGAATATGATGTTTTATTTGACTCCATTGTGTCATTACAATGCTTACACGATGCTCCGGTATTGATGGTAGAGGATTTCAACATTGCAGAATACAACTTAAGTGATACTTTTACCAGAATGCAATCGTTAAATAATCTTTGTAATTTTTTCGAGCTTACACAACACAATAACATTACTAACTGTGACATGCGATTTTTAGATTTAATTTTTTCAACTTCTTCATCCTCGGTTCAAAAGACCGATGATGTTTTGGTATATCCAGAAGACAGATATCATCCCGCGTTGGCATTCGAAGTAAACTATAAAAACTCTACTATTAAAACTCCAGTATTTAACGCATTTGCTTACAACTTTGAAAAAGCAAACTTTGTTGCCCTTTTACATAACATTTCACACGTTGATAAAGCTCTGAGCCTATTTTATGACCAATTATATATTGTTCTTGATTAAAATGTACCAAAGAAGAAACCTTGTTATAAAACATACCCCATCTGGTTTCTTTAATTCACAAACTGAATTTAAAAAATAAAGCTTGGAAAAAATACAAAAAAACGAAAGGTGATGATGATTTTAATGAATACAGACATTTGCGGTCTGTTTTTAAAGCTATGACTGCCCATCAAAACTATCTGGCTCATGTTGATGCTGAACTAAAAATAAATCCAATGAATTTTTGGTCATTCTATAATCCCAATAAGAAATGTAACTCACTTATTATAATGGCATTGATTTAGAAACTAGTGCCGCTATTGCATCTGCTTTTGATGACTATTTTAGTGATTCATTTTTAGACAACCCTGTAAATGTTAATCCCCCCTTATTTGATGTTATTTCTCCTAACCACGCTTTGGTTATGCCCAAGATCTCCGAGGACGACGTAATAGAGTCAAGCGAATCAAGACAAATATGACTATGGGTCCAGATAATGTTCCTGCGTTTCTTGTACTTGATGGCTTTTTGCTAAACCGCTTTGTATCATTTTTAATCTGATAATATCCACGTCTGTTTTTCCCGAGAAATGGAAAATTTCAAAAACTGTCCCGGTGTATAAAAAAAGGCAACAGAAATGATATTACAAATTATAGACCAATCGCTATTATCTGCAATTTTAGTAAAGTATTCGAAATCACTGTTACCAAATTTTTCTACAGGCATATCAAAAACTTAATTTTACCTGAACAACGTGGATTTGTTCATGGGAGATCTACCGTTACTAACATAGCTGTTAAAACTCAATTTATCAGCGAAATATTGGACCGAGGTGATCAGGTAGATGTGATCAACACCGACTTCATCAAAGCATTCGATCGCCTTAGTCATCCAATTTTGTTATTCAAGTTAAATATGCTGAATTTTTCTGGCAATGTACTCTCCTTCGTTCCTATTTAAGTATTCGTTCCCAGTATATCCTTATTAGTGATATCTCAAGTTTCCGGTGTATCATAAGGTTCCATTTTAGGTCCTTTATGCTTTAAAATCTTCATTAACGATATTTGTAATAATGTAAATGTACAATATTTACTCTACGCTGATGACCTGAAGCTTATTTCAAAGATTGATAACATCAATGACTGTACGTTACTGCAATCCGATATAAACAAAATTCACAATTGATGTATAATTAATAATCTTATGTTAAATCCTGCAAAATGTAACGTTATGTCATATACGCGAAAGATTGATTGTCCTGCAGAGACCTAACACGATTAAAGACCTTGGCGTTGTATTTGATTCAAAATTATCATCTTGCCGTTGAAGTGACATGGATGAAAAAACCAAACAAGTTGTTCCCCCTCGAATTAAAAATCGACGGGTTCGAGCTTTTTTCCCGATTTTCATTTTAAAGCCGGAAAATAGGGGTGTAAAGTTTTCGTTAGCCCACCCTGTAATAATTAAAAATGAGTTATTCTTATAAAGAATCGATAAATAAGATAATCAACTAGATATTCATCGAGTAGTTTTAAGAAAACGGTAAATTTTGGTAAATTGTAATGAAATTACTTAAAACCAATTCAAGTATAAATGATAATGTACCAGTGGTCGCCAACCTCTCAATGTGTTGAGCTACTTTGTTAATTTTGGAATAAACAGCGAGCTACCCACACGGAAGCCACGTAAAGGTACGTTTACATCTGACATTTATTGCATGAGATTTATGTCTGACAGTTGTTTAGTCCAGTGTAAACACTCTAACATATATATCCAAGAGAAATTTTTGTGTGTTTACACTGGACTAAACAACTGTCAGACACAAATCTCATGCAATAAATGTCAGATGTAAACGTACCTCAACGCAACGTAAATGAAATAATCCACAGTTAATTTATCATTATATGTATTTATTTTACTATTTAACTGGTAAAACATAATACATAGGTACTAATAATAAACTAATAACAAAATAACTAATATTACTAGTACGTACTTGTTCATAGCTACATTCCTACCTACCAAACGAAGGTGTTTGAAAAATAAACACAAACTTTTATGTCACGTAAGATTTAAAAATAGTTAATAATAACAACAAAAAAGTAACGCACTATCATGAACATAAACATTGAAAAATAAAAAAGCACGTTCAATGAGAAGGCTGACACTCAGACTCATCGATAATTTTTTTAATGGTTGCAGTATAATTTGATACAGCCATTCGAATACAATTATCCAAATGTTCATCTGTAAGTCGATTGCAATATTTGTTCTTAATAAACTTCATATTGGAAAAAGAAGATTCACACAAATAGGTTGAACTGAATAATGCTTTCACTTTCAAGGCGTGTTGGCATAGAACTGAATACTTATTTGTCTTTACTTACACATTTGGTACTTGAGACTAACGATTTTAAGGCTAAATCATTTTGAAACTCAATTACTTCCATTTCTGTTGCAGCGATGTCTTCGCCAAAGTTCTGCATAACACAAGTTGCAAACTGTTGGATATCAATTTCCATAAAGGGTGAAATAACAAACTGCGCTACTAAAGCCATTTCGTTGAAATCCTTAAAACGATTTTTAAAGTTATTCTTCAGGGTAGAAACTATTTCTACATATTTGCTGTCATATGGTTCTAATGGATTTTGAGATATTTTTTCTGAAAGAATAGGAAAATACTTGGCATCACTGTTAATTAGGTTTTGTTCCCAAAACTCCAGCTTTTTGATAAATGCTTTTATATCAGAAATTATTTCCGCTAGTTCTTTGTCTCTCCCCTGAAGCTGCAAATTAAGTTCGTTTAATTTTTCTGTAATGTCCACGAGAAAACCAAAATCTCTAAGCCAGATTGAATTTTCTAGTTCCGAAGTCGGTTCATAGCGTTGTTTGAAAAATTGAACTATGCCAGATAGGACATCATTAAAACGTTTCACCACCCGTCCTCTACTTAACCATCGGACTTCAGAGTGAAGGAGTAGGTCCCCGTATTGACAGTCAACTTCACCCGGCCAAGGTTTTGAATAATCTTCTTTGTAACGCTTGAGCTCTAATCTTGTTCACAATTTTTACCACCAGTTTCATAACGTTGTTTAGTTTCAGGAAATTTCCACATAATGCTTGCTGATGGATAATGCAGTGGTAACAGATAAATTGCGGAAAAGTTTCATCTTTACGACATAACGCCACCAGACCCTTATCACAACCCACCATAGCTGGAGCGCCATCGGTTGTCAAACCTACCATTTTCGATATTGGAATTTTCTCGGAAGAAATAATATTTTTTAAATGAGAAAACAACTCCTGTCCAGTAGTGTGTCCTTTCAGTGGAATAAACTTCGAAAGATCTTCTTTAATCGTAAAATCACTAAAAACCATCCTGACGAACATGGCCATCTGAGCAGTGTCAACGACATCTGTTGATTCATCCAATTGAAGTGAAAAATAAACACAGTTATCTAAGTCAGTTCTTAACTGTAAAAAAATATCATTGTTCATTACTTCTACACGTCTCATCACTGTATTAGCAGAAAGTTGCACAGATTTTATAGCTGAAACTATATCGTCTTTATTTCTAAAGTTGGCAAATAACGAATCAGCAGCTTCTAAAAACGCCTGTTTTATCATTTCCCCGTCTTCATAAGGTTTCTTTTTTTGTGCAATTATCTGGGACACACGGTACGTTGCTTCAGTTGCAGCCCTATTTTTGTCGACTCTTCTTAAAAATATTGATTGTTGTCCAACTAACTGCTTTTTTTACTGTTTCAGTTTCTCCTTTCTGGCGGCAGAATGTAGTGGGAATGATTTTTCAAAATTAGAATGTACAGTTTTATGATGTCTCTCAATATTTCCTTTTTTAGCAACGGAGACCGAAGTATTACATAACAAACACACATTTTTATCTTTAACTTCTGTAAAAAAGTATTGTTCTTCCCAATCCGAATGAAAGTGGTATGTCTTTACCTTCTTACAACTGCTTGCCATAATATTATTTTTTGTTGTTCTCTACTAACCCAACCTCTGGACGTTGGTTACGCGTTCAGTTTTAAACTAAGCGCAATGTCGCCGCGCCGTGCATATTTATCCCGTTCAAATCGTTCTCGAACACTAACGCGCTAGTCCGGCTGGTCGGTTCTAGCCGATTCTAGCTTGATGGCGTCAGTGGCAGATCGCTCACCGCAACGTTGCCGCTGTTTATGTTTAATATTATGACAATTAGATTTTTTTGTGGAATTTTCGGAAGCTTCTCTGATTTTTGCAGTGTGTATTTTCTAAATTAAAATCGTTGTGAGAGCTACCAGAATTGCCTCCGCGAGCTAACGGTAGCTCGCGATCGACAGGTTGGCGACCACTGTAATAGACAAATAAATTGTAAATTGTTGTCGCGAAAGTTGGAGTACTGAGTTCTCCTGCGAAAGATCCGGAGTTTATTTTAGAAATTGGTAAAATCCAAAAATTTAAATATTTGTGTTAAATATATTTGAATTAGTTATTTTATGTTAATAACCTTTAAATTATTTTTTACAATGCTGATTTTCTTTAGTGATTCGTAAAAAAAATATACTATATAATTCGAGGGGTTTTCTCGTATTGTACTTCGTCTCCGTGCAATTTGGTCATCATGCCTATTCACTCTTATTGCACAAACTACCTGCTTTTTGGCTTGTACTAGTGTAAATACCCAACTTCTGTAGATCGTATGTTTTCAAAATAACATAAAAACGAAATATATCGCAAAAAAGTCAGTTTTTACTAAACTTACGGTTTTTAATTAAAAAATATGCACAAAAACAAATGTAGTATAGGTATTCTCAAATCAATTCACTTATGATTTATTATTGTTGTTTTTGAAATTGTAGGTGTTCGTTTTTGGAGCCCCTCGCCCTTATCTTTGGCATATTAGGTGTATTATTTTTAAAATTTACGTGCCAATCATTCCTATTTCTATTGCAACAAAAAAATACAGGCATATCGAAATTTGAATATAAATTGGCGTCATTGTTCATATCACTCAACACTTTCACCTGACCTTCGGTAGCGGAAACAGCTAGCAATTTTAGAGAAAACTGTTTTGAGTAAAATACTATTTTAAACTGTATTGGACGCTGATTGGTATCCAAAATACACTGGCGAGCAAAAAATTGAGGCCACTTTAGAAATTGCAAATAATTTTAGCGTCAATATTGATAAGGACATAATAGTATTAGTAGGCGTTGAAGCAATTGTTGTCCGAGACTTGACAGCTGTCATTCGATTTATTAGAATACGAAGGTGCCCCGTTGCAACGCCAGCATCGGACTGCAAGATTGATATTTGCCAGAGATCACGCTCGTTTGAATGATGATGACTGGAACTGGGTATTGTTCTCAGATGAGTCGCGTTTTTGCCTCACTGGGTCAGATGGACGTCGACGAGTGTGGAGAAGAGGAGAAGACCAGGGGAAAGATATGAGGTTTGTTCTGGTTCTCAAAATGAAAACTGTTTTGAAACTGCGCCGGACCGTATGCGTAAAGGCAAAAAATCCCCGACTGTTTGAAATTGTTGGAAAACCAGAACACGTCATAAAGGTGTTTTGTTTATTGTTTATTATAATAATGAAGTTCCTTTTGAAAGCTCAGCTTCAAATAACATTTGCATGTATATGTTTACCATTATCATCACATTTCAATGGAATAAATAAAAACAGAATAATATTAAAAAATTAATAATTCTAAAATTGCTTTAATTTACAAATAAAACAAGAACAAGAGACATTCGTCCACATATAAATAAACAATTTGGGATTGTATACGTTTCGTATAGTCTAAAAAGCCAATACAATATTCATAACACTTCAAAAACGCATGCGCGGTCAAAACAGTCCGAGTCGATCCACACTCCCAAACATGAACACTTTTTGACTGTTTACAACAATCACGGATTATTTCGGATACGAAACCAGAACACTGGACTGAGAGATCCGAAGTAGTCCCAGAAAAACCAGAACACTTTTTATCTACTGCGCATGAGCCCGACAGTTGTGGATCGTTATTTCTCAAAACCAGAACAGACCTATGCTGAAGTTTGCATTGACGGGCGTCTTCCATTTGGCGGTGGGTCAGTTATGGTTTGGGTGGGAATCACTGTACAAGCTCGTAGAGAGTTGGTCTTCATAGAAAATGGCTCCCTCCCTAACCTCTAACAGGTACATTACGGAGGTGCTAGAAGACCATGTTATGCCTCTCATGGTGACTATGGGGGAACTTGGCATTTTTATGCAAGATAATGCGAGACCACATACAGCCAGAATTGTCAGGGAGTATCTGGATGAGGTAGAAATTAGGCGGTTTGACTAGCCAGCCCTCAGCCCAGACATGAGTCATATAGAACATGTCTGGGACGAGTTGGGACGACGGATCCGCAGACACACACCAGCACCAAGAACTGCCCAGGAGCTGAGAAGATTGCTGTTGCAGGAATGGGATAACATCGACTAGAATGTGATCCGCAACTTAATTCATAGTATACCGCGCCGACTTCAAGCAGTCATCAATGCAAGAGGAGGGAATACACGTTATTAGTGTCAAGTTTTTTCATTTTGTTCCTTCCACATTTTCCCTAACAACAAAATGTTGAATTTCGCCCAAAATGTTAATTTGTTGCTTTTTCAGAATAAATCATGAAATCCAAGAAAAAAATGCATTCCTGTTTAGTATAGAGTATCACATTCAGCTTACAAAAGCACATGCAATGATGTACAGTTTGCGAATACGATCTGAAAACGTAAAATTTCAAAGAACATGAAAATTTTAAGGTGACCTTAATTTTTTGCTCACCAGTGTATGTAACGGCTCCCAGCTCTGAATAGGTCAGTTTTAAACTGCCGCCTTAATCTAGGTGACAGACATCACCTCCTTTTAAAAATATGATCTGAAGATTTTTCATTAAGACAAAGAAGTCAGTTTTTGTACTAATTCCAATAAAAAATAGTAAATCCCACTTACCTGGAGCTCCTATCAAAAAACCACTGGATAATCTGCAGACAATAAGCACGTTTTTATACGGAGACAAAGAACACAAAACGGTAATGAGAGCATTTATCAAATGGGTAAAAATTAAAATTTTCCTCCTTCCTTGATTGTCAGCCAAAAAGCCCCAAATGAAACAACTTATCGTGCTTCCTCCTAGAAAAGCTACGTTGAGGAAACCTAATTCGTAGGAAGAGAGATTGAGTTCACATCGTGCTGGTGGAAAAATGTATGCAGACAGACCATTTTGGAAACCGACTACCAGAATGGATAAGCAGCATGCTGCAGTAGTTTCGTAATGGAATCTTCCATAACCTAAAAGAGAAAAATATATGTTGATTAATCTACCATATGGAAAATACTATTGTAAATATTTGCAGTTAAGGACCTTTAAGGTTATTTGGGTTTAAAAAATTAAATTGTCGAAATATTTATTTGATTTTTGTAACATTAATAATATGGGAAAGTAAATTTGGTACGCGTAGCAGGCTGCTCCATTAGAAACTGGAGTTGAGATTGTCTATTTCTTGCTGATGAGTCCTAATAAGAACGAAACCAGTCCAACAATTAGGTACGTTCTCCTTAGGAAGCAAAATCATTAGAGTGTTGAATATTATTTTCTATTTTATATCTCTTCCATTTTCCATTTGATATTATGCAATGTCTGTTGTGGTATTAGATAAAGTTGTAGTTATTTTCAGGAGATAAACGGTCGTTAGACGTTTTTGTGAGACGGACTTTGAGTTTACTCTTTACCCTTTGTTTTATTTTTAAATTGAGAATTGTAATTTATTTCTTTTAATAACAATAATATTTAATAATCTAAAAGTTTCAAACAACAAACAATAATTAATTATACATACATAACGATTAATAAATAGGTCTAACCTGTGCCTGGGTATAAATAAATATGATTAAAACGAAATAATATAAAATATTGGAAAAAAGTGAATAACTAAAATATTTAAAGTTCCTAGTACTCGTAGGTACATAATATCAGGTACAAACTACAGTCAACAAGACTATAAAATAACGAGTGTAGTCTGCTGTCATGCATAGATAAAAATTTTAGTAACCAGTTAAGGGTCATTTTAAAAATATAATAAAGAAGTTTAACTCGGCCCGTTTCAAGTCTTATTACATAATCCGGTGTATTGATTGGCACGGAATTTTTTTTTTTTAAAAAGTTGGTTTATTTCGGCCTGACGTGAAAAGATTAGATTTTGGACATAGTCGGAACATCTGGGGGGGTACTTTATGGGAGGCCACTTTTATATTTTATGTATCTGTTATTAATGTTTGGAGAAAAAAATTGTTCATATAAAAGTTACTTCTAATATTATTATCTATAATTTTTGTTTTATGTAAAAATTTCCTGAAATAGTCCGTATTCGAGAAATTTGACAAAATGTGCAAAATTCTGATTTTTATGAAAGTTGTTTAAATAAAAGTTGTTTGCGATATCGATCTCTATAATTTTTGTTCATACATGATTTTTCTAAAATGGACCGTAATGGAAAAATTGTAGGAAAAGTGCTAAATTTAAATTTTTCAGTATTTTCGTTTTCAATGAATATCTATAGAAAAATGTTTCGAGGTAGATGTATGTGGAAAATGTATATATTTAGTTTATCCTCCTCTAAACATTTATAGAGGTGCTGCAATAGGTTGTACAAAATAATCGGAAAAAGCCTGTAATAACTAGATAGGAAAGTCATGTGTTGGACACATCAGATTTTTTTTGCAAGAATTTATTACTGTATAGGTAACATTCCTCTGTGGATATTTTAGCTTCAAGGTAGGGATGCAAAGCATCGAAAAACTTGGTGGTATCTAAAATTCTGGTAGGATAAACATTATTATAAAGACGTTCCCTCATTTCTATGGTGAGATTAGGGTGAATATTTCTAAATAAACGAAATTGTTTTATTGTCGACCAAAACTCTTTGGGATTTCTACAACTTGATAATGTAGAGATTATTTCTGCCTCAAATTTACGACGTTTAAATTTGATTATGTTCAGCTCTGATACCATCAATGCCGGGGGATTTCTTATATTTTAATGTACATGGCGTCATGGTGCCTTCCGTGGAGACGCCCTTGTTCTGACACTGAAATTGTGTCCTTCTATTTTTGTTTGAAGTATCTTCATTTTGTTTATAGACAGACATGTTACTTAGTAACAAACAAAATTTTACTCTCTGGAATCAAGACACTTTATGTTATAATAAAACGTTATACGTCATACCTATTACAACTTTACTATTCATTAATTCGATAAAAAAAATTCCAGGTAGATACCACTTAATATTTTTAATTAAAATTATTAGATTGCAGACGCTTCGGAAACATATTTTTAGAGATAAAATATCTGTAATTATTAGATTTTTCTAGAAAACACTCCCAATAAACATATGACACACTCTATTATCTATTTATAGATTACCGTGGTACTCTATCTCTTTTCCATTTTTATATAGAATCTTCTACATTTTTTATTGATGATGGTCAAAAGTTATCAAAACCAGTTGCAATGGATTTTTGTTTAATTGATCATTGTTAGTAGAATTAAATAGCTATTAAGATTGGTGACACACAAAGAAATACATTTCGTAAAATTTAAATAAAGAATGAACATTTACAATACTTATAATAGTAAATGTTTCTTATAATTAGTTTTGAAGATATTTGGAGATACAGGAAACATTAAAGAAATTACTTTTCTAATAAATGATTTGCAATATTTACTACATATTGTCATATTTTAATCATAAGTTTTTAACATTTATCTTCTACGAATATTCTAATTTATCAATGTAAACTCGATGATATAATAATTACCATATCTGTTAGGTACATTCTAATTTAGGTAGAACAAAAGATTTAAAAATAGTGATATCGTTCTTATTTCTAAAAATTGACTGGAGTTTCTTAAAAAAAACCTAAATTTCTAAAAACTTTCTTTTGTAGTCAAAAATGAAAACGTGGGACATCCTAGAAGGTATTAGTTAAGAGAAGGCTGACAAAACGAAAATGATTATTTTGTTGTAAAGCGACCCCTTCGGGGTCGCTAACTGTTATACAGCGACCCCTTAGGGTTCGCTGTTAATTGTAAAGCGTCGCTGAAAATTATAAGGCGACCCCTATGGAGTTTCTGAAAATTATAAAGTGCCCCCTACGTGGTCGCTTATTGTTATACAGCGACCCCTACTGGGTCACTGTGTGTGTGTGTGTGTTTGCGCGCGTATGTGTGTTTGTGTGCCTGTATCCACCATAACTCATGAACCGATACAAATAAAAACACCAAATTTTAAACTTAAGCTTCATTCCGGCTTGCAGTGAACTGATTAGATTTTGGGCAGAGTCGAAACATCTGGGGGGGTACTTTATTGATGGTAATTTTTATATTTTATGGAATATATCTGTTATTTACGTTTGAAGAAGAAAATTCTTTAAATAAAAGTTACTTACAATATTATTATCAATATTTTTTGTTCTATACAAAATTTTCCTAAAATGATCCGTATTCGAAAAATTTGACAAAATGTAAAAAAAATAATTTTATATAAAATTTGTTTGAATAAAAGTTGTTTGTAATATAATTCTCTATAATTTTTATTCTATACATAATTTCTCTTAAATGGACCGTATTCGAGATATTTGAGAAAATGTATAAATTTAGAATTTTGAAGAAAACTCAAAAACGGATAAAGAAAAAAACATTACATTTTAAACTTAAGTTTTATTTCGGCTTGACGTGAAATGATTAGATTTTGGACAAAGTCGGAACATCTGGGGGGTACTTTATGGGAGGCCGTTTTTATATTTTATGGAATATATCTGTTATTTGTTTGGAGACATTTTTCAGTATTTTCGTTTTCAATGAATATCTATAGAAAAATGTTTCGAGTTAGATGTATGTGGAAAATGTATATATTTAGTTTATCCTCTAAACATTTATAGAGGTGCACTGCATTAGGCTGTACAAAATAACCGGAAAAAGCCTATAATAACTAGATAGGGAAGTCATGTGTTGGACACATCAGATTTTTATATAAACATCCTAATTTTCTCGAATTTGGGGGGTTTTGGGGAGTATCACCAAATTACATTGTTTTCTTAAAATAATTCACCCAATAACATGCCACCATTTTTATTTCAAAATTTTTCTTTTTTTTTTTTTAAAAGGGGGAAAGGGGGAACAAAATCTGGGGGATCGAAAGTGTCTACCTTTATTAACTATATTTTAATTTTTAATATAAAATATAAGGCAATGTATAAAAGAGGAGTAAGGGGGGAAACAAAATATAAATTTTTATATTTATCTTAAAAATCTCTATCAAAATTAAAAACATTTTTTATATATTTTTTATAATTTAAAATAAAATTATTATTTTTTAATTTTTGGAGGCGGGGGGACAACTTCATATACCTTAAAATTGTCAAAATTCAATATCCTATAAACTGTGTGAATTTTATTACATTAAAAAATATCAAGTTTACTCTTGGAGGATTTTTGGAAAAGGGGGGATATAGTAAACACCTTCAACACTCTTAGATTTTAATCTCAAATACCTTACCAAAAGGATTTCATCTGAAATTAATTTTTAGGTTACTCTTGTTTTCAAAAAAATGGAGGTGGCAGAAAATTTTGGTCCAAAGCGTTCGATTTTTGGTCCCATAAAGTACCCACACAATAATATTTCTTCAATCCTCTTCCTAAGTCACTCTCACTCTTGGCGACTTTTAAAAAAAGTAGGAAGTGCAATGAATCTCAAAAACCTTCCCTTGTGGTCCCATTACCTATTCGCACAATAATTCCCAAAAATTTTATTTTGAGTCCACTTCTGATGATTTTTTGAAGGGTGCTGGGGACGAGATGAGTCTGACTCAACTCGAACTTTGGTCCCATACATCATGCGCACAATATAAATGTAAAATTTTCATTTTGGGTCACTCTTGTGGCTTCCAAAAAAATACGGTGGGGTGGGGGAAGGTAGTATAAAGCGACTTACTACATTTGAGCTCTGCTGATACTACGTCATAAAATATATCGAAAATAAGTATAACAAATTAAAAACACACCCCATAAAATATTTAGAGGGGTAGGGGAAAGTGATCAATCTAAATAACTGTCTTTATCATTGACCCTATCAAACCACAAGGCTCACAGTGTTGCCATATTATAACCTGTCAATGGCCTGTCATGTCAAACGGGCAGCCATTTTGTTGGGAATGTGTAATAGCTGTCAGTGGGAAGGGTTCGTATATGAAAGGGTGTTGCGACATGGTCTTCCATCTTAGACGCTATTTTTATTCGAAATGGTAGTGGCTGGCCTGCCAATTTATGAAGAATGAATAAGCAGTTTTTTTAATAATATTAGGCATTCCAAACAAAAAACTGTTAGTGGGAAGGGTTGGTATATCTAAGGAGTTGTAACACGCAATGTATTCTATCTACAATACTTGAAATCATGAATAATAGATTAAATTTAAATATAGCATCATGCAAGATATACGACCCCTTTCCACTGGCAGCTATTGTTTGACAGGTCGTTGAAATGCTTGATTTATATTGTGATCAACATAAAATATTTAAATTTGATCCATTATTCATGATTTCACGTGCTGTAGATAGAATACATTGTATGTCGTAAGTAAAGGAGCAACACGGGTTCTGCCTCATTCCCCATGTTAATTCCCATAAGAAATCGCTAAGGTTCATTCTGCACTTTTTTGTCCATATCAAGGTCTTTCGTCTTTGTCAAACGTCAAACGCCAAACGCCAAACGTCAAACGTCAATTTGACGTTTGACGTTTGACGTTTGACGTTTGGCGTTTGACGTTTGACAAAGACGAATGACCTTGATATGGACAAAAAAGTGCAGAATGAACCTTAGCGATTTCTTATGGGAATTAACATGGGGAATGAGGCAAAACCCGTGTTGCTCCTTTACTGTCGTATCTCCATAGATGTACCAACCCATTCCACGACAGCCATTTTGTTTGGAATGCCTTAATGTAACTGGTCAAAATCGCAGCATTCTAGATTTAACTGACTTTATGCACATAAGTTCTGGATGCGAAATCCAGAGAGCCAACTTTTAACACGTTAGCTGCGGAAAAGCTTTTTTAAGAGATTTCTTTATAACGGAACGAGGTCTTAATGACCCCGACACAAAACCTCCTATTTGGCTGACTTTAAATTTATGAAACTTTTCTACCTGAGTATAAATTCTTTATTTTTTAACGGTTTTTAATGTTATTGGGAGCGATCAAATCCTTATAGAGTAATGTAACAGAATTTTTAACAAAAAATGTACGAGATCGATTTTTACCCATTTGACAACTACGAGGTCGTATAAGCCTTGTTTTTTCAAGGCGAATATCACCAAAGCGGATAGACAAGGCATAAAGGGTGTTATCAACTATTCAGAAGAACATTTAACATCAAACATGCAGATAAAAAAGTAGAGAAAGTAATTGTGTTTTCCTAAGAATGTGAAGGAAAATCGGTCTACAGCTTATTAACATTTTGTTTTAACAATTTCTAAGAAAAATAAATGGAATATTTATAGTTTTTTGGTTTTCCCTTTTGGGTTTATTACAAATATTTGTGTGTTTGAGGATCATTTCAAAAAAAACTTTTTTGGTACTTTAATTATCAATATCTCCTAATGTAGTCAGTTGATCTAGAAACTATCAAAGACAAATATTGCCTGACTGTTTTACAAAGACAAATCAGTTGTCAAAAACATTACAATTTTTTTAAAATGCATTACTGCGGCTAATATATCCCCCCAATCGCGAAATAGGAAAGTTTCTGACGAGGTCTATTAGACTTTGTATCGCTATTTATAAAGATTTGTAAAAATTGTCGCCATCTACGAAGTATTTTGACAGGGTTAAAAAACCTCGTCTCGCAGTCAAGGTGTTGAAATATTAGTACTCTGACTACAGCAAATCTCAAGTATAACATACGGTTGAACTCGTATTAAAGGGGAGATTCCAATAATGATACAACATATAGGGCCATGTATTTGAAATAAAACCAAAGTGACGAATAATATCAGAAAAATAATAAATCTAGCAACATTGTCAATCTGGATTCTTTTTATCCCAAATATTGTCCAATTCGGAAAACCAATTTACTTTTGCTCCACTTTGGATATCAAAAACAACAAATATTAAAAATCTTTTAGGATCACTTACCTGTAAGACTTAAAGCCCGATCAAAATCACAGGATTCGCGATTGTCCCTGTAGAATTTCGGTGCATTCATTATCTCGATTAAATAATCACGAAATTCGAATAATTCGCTACACTGACATATTTCATACCATTTTGTTATAACGATTCCACACGTTCACAAAGATGACACACTTTTTATTATTTTTATTTTGATTTGTATAAATTGTTTTTAGCTTAGAGTCTTACAATGGTCAACGAAGGTGTAATTAGTAACTTTGCATTATTTGATTATTTATAATTGTAATGTTTATGTCTCACTATAAAATTCTTTAAATATCGCCGTTCTTTACAGGTTGATGAATCAATTTTATTATAAATGGATTTATTATAGGTGAATTTCCACTAGATTTGAAGCATGTACTTTTTTTTAATACACCAATTTATACCTTTCCGAATATTAGGATAATTATATGGAAATAATTCTGTAGGAGCATGGAAAAATAAAGAAAAGTTTTATTTTAATTCATAATTTAGGTCTAATTTGAGAACAGAACGTTTAAAACTTTTGATTAATTTATAAATATACTGCTGCTTTTATTTGCATATCTACTAGATAAATTATAATCAAAATAAAACGATCAAATACCAATACCCATCTGGTCCACTGGTCCACTGGTGCGCTCTGGACTTATTCTTAGCTATGAAATGAGAGTAAGATACATTAGTACTCTATAGATACTATTTAGTAATTAAAATTAATGAGATAATCCATAAAATTTATTTTACGTATATTTTAGAATGTTTATAATTATTTCTGTGAAATCTAGATGAGATACTTGCATTTTTTTGGCTAGTTATGCAGCTCTACAGCACTTATGCACCAGTCGTCACAACCTCTAACTAGTCTTTTAGATCACTATTACCAATATACTATTGAGGGATGGGGCAAAACTCCAAGCCGAATTTTCGAAGGGGCCATTCCCTTTATAGCATATATTTTTTTAACAAAAGGCTTATGGATTGTAAAAATTTTAATCTCGAGAAATGGAGGATAGATGGAGCATGGCCTCCATATCCCCTTCCCTGGAGCGGCCCTTGGAAAGGACATCTTTCACCTGGGCAAAAAATAAAAAATAAAATAATTCCTTTTAGTTAATAAAATAATGTATTATTTTATCTACAATATTAATAAACTACAGCAGAATTGCAATAAGTAAACTGAAAAATAAAGAAGAAAGTAAAATACCAAGAACAGACGAACAACGAATTCGAACTACTAATAAAAAAGGGAGAAGAGATATGTGGAATAATTAAATTTAATAAACATTTAAAAATAACAAAGCGGTGGATTATACAAATAAAATTATTAGTAAAAGAAAAGAACAATGCATGGAGAAAGTATCTTCAGACAAAATCACAAGACGATAAGTAGTAGTATGGTAAAAAAACAAATATAGTAAAAGAAACTTTAAAATTTAAAAAAGCGAAAAACAACTCCTGGAGAAATTGGCAGAGGACGGTGTCCTATTGTGTCCAGTAAAAAATGAGCAAATTAATTAACCTAAAAACTATTAAATCAAGAAATTATTTTAAAATAAATCTAAAGACCAAATACAAGTATAGTTCCAAAATTAAATTCTAAAATGAGCTACATGCAAATGTAAGTTCGAACATTGGTCAGGTGGTAAATCCAAAAATATATCATAATTATGAATTGTGAAAAATATGCCTGTCCATATTGTTTTTGTAAATATTGACACTTTGGGAATCTATAATTTCTTGGGGCAGGTTGTTCCAGACTTCGAAGATTCTGTTATTCAGAAAATGTTGTCTCGTTCTTGTTTTGAAGTTTTCTTTCTGTAGTTTTAGCGAATGTCCACGAAGTCGGGAGTCAGTATTTATAGGAAAAGCTTGATTAAGGTCGTCAAAGTTATCTTTTATTATTCGAAACGACAAAATTAGTAAGGCTAGTAACCGTGACCGGTTAACCCGTTAACCGGTTCCGTAGGACCAAAAAACCGTTAAAGAAGGTAACCTGTTTAACCGTAACCGGTTTAACAGTAACCGGTTTAACCGGAACCAGTTTATAACCGTATTTATGTCTATCAGCCACATCAACTTCCAATAAATGGTGTTTTCCAGTTTTCCAGTGCGGCGAAAAGAAACTGCTTGCTGCCAGAAAACGTTGATAAGTTGATTTTTTTGCATCAAAACTCAATAATTAAAAATAGGCAGTTTTGTTATTAGGTATTTGTTATTATTTCTTATTTTATGTCCCAATTAATTATAATTTATTTTTGAATGTTTTTTTTACGTGAATATAGTTTATTTATGTTTTTGTTTTTTAGTTTTACCTATTCCCCCCAGTGAGAAGTGAGTGACTGTGCCCTTTTTTAAATTTTAAGTAAAGTTTAGCAAAAGTAAAATTGGTAGTATTTCTATTATTCTAATTTAATTTTTATTTAGTGAGTGCCTATTTTAAAAAAATCAAGCATGCCCTGCCTGGTTTTCACGGGCAAGGAAAGGTGAAATAGTTGGTAAAGAGACCCCACTTCTATTGAAAACAAAGGATTTGGTGGATATATTTTGCCACGATTAAGCCGGTGATGGTTACAGTTAAACCAGTAACGGATAAACCAGTGACGGGTTTAACTGATCACGATTACAGATGCAGATTTCCAGGAGGAGGGAAGAGAACCTAGAGTAAAGGATGTATTCATTATTATTATAGAAGGTGTTAAGCCGTCAAGGCCAGAGGCTAGTTAACTAGTAAATTATTTTTGATTTGGGTTTCAGTAAAAAATATATTTTCAAGTGAAGCTAAATTACGTGTAGTAATAATATGGGGTAGTACATCGTTTGGTGGCTCGATGGTGTAGGCATTGGAGAAAGAGAGCGATAAGATCTCAGCTGTTTCGAAATTGGAGGAGCATAAACTTTCATCAGTCTTTTGAAGAAAAGGAGTGGCCACTTTGGATGAGAGAGAAGAACGGATGTATTTAAAGATTTTTTTTTAGTATTGTCACTATTAGCGATTGATTCTTCGTAAGATTGTCTCGTAGAAGACAGATACCGCTTCATCTGGTTGGAAAATCTTCTGTGGCAGATGAAATCGTCGTTATTTTGTGTGTTTTTATAACTTCTCCATAGATTGCGTTTATGTTTTATCATTTCTAGTAGTTCCCAAGTGATCCAGGGTTTTAATTTGTTGCGATAAATTACGTTTAATAATGTTTTTTGAGAGAATTTGTGTAGTGATGTTGTGAAATTTGTTCCACATAGATGAGGAATCATTAGAGGCGAGCAGTAAGTTATTCCAATCAGTAATTGCAAGCGAATGATCAACTTTAGTGAAGTCAATGATTTCTAACGTTGAGAAATGTTCTTCCGATTTAGGAGAGGGTAGATTAAATTGTACATGTGCCGTTATTACTCCGTGATCGAATTTTCCAATAGGAGTACTAACCTCTAGGGAGGACAATAATTGTGTGTCATTTGTAAATTCAAAAAATATCTTATAGACGAGCTGACCCGAGAAAAAGGAATTAAAATTATCAGATTGCCTCCTTACCACACAGAGTTAAATCCCATTGAACTGATTTGGTCACAATTAAAAGGTTATGTTTCTCGAAATAATACATTTAAATTACCTGATGTGCGAAATTTAATTTTGAAAGCAGTTTCAGATGTAAATGGAGAACAATGAAGAAAATACATTGATCATGTTAAAAATGTGGAAAATTCATTTTGGAAAGTGAATATAGCAATGGAAAACTTAATAGACTCTATAATAATAAACTTCAGATAATGATAATGATACCAGTAGTTATAGTGAAAACAGTGACTTTTAAAGATAGTTCTTGAACTTTATATTTTTTTAGTCTTTAATTTTAGGTACTGCAGTGTTACTTTTAATTCCAAGAGATTAAAAAAAGTATAATCCCATTAAGAACATATAATCCTCCTCGTTATTTATTGGTAAAATTTACTTCATTAAATGTTAAAGTGCAGCAATTTTCTCAGAAGTACAAGGTTTATTTTTATTTTTTGTAAATAATATAACTTTTTTCATTCAAAATTTAATCTACGTGTATACCATTTTATTTATAAAATATAATTTTTGTTGTATCCCATGAAATCTGCACGCCAGTGTTTTTGATAGCACTTCAACAAAATTTAGTTATAGCCACACAACTTCTATTTAAAGCATTTTTTTCTATAGCCGATAATAGGGATGATAAAGGTTGGGTAATTTATAATGAATAACCCTGTACAAGGAGGTGGGTAGCTCAGTAATAATTAGAGTCTGGCTTCCGGGTCTAAGGATCTGGGGTTCAAAGTAACCGTGCTATTCCTAAACTTTCACTGGGAAACAGTCTCAAAGCCTACACATAACACAAACTAATATAAAAAAATTAAAATTAAACTAAAACTTACTGATAGAGTAGATACTACCAAAGCCATAATGCTTAAAAAAACTATTACATCTCTGTTACTTTTTCATTTAACTAATAATTATTATTTCTCTCCTGTGATTAAAGGTCCTAGCCCCTAGTTATCAGAAAGAATATTTAAAAAAACACTTACAGTAATTAAAATAATTGCAATCTAATAAAAAATAATAAGTATATGTATTGTACCTTAACCCAAAACCCCCCTTATAAATTTTATAGCTACGCTACTGCCTGTAATTGTGCGTAAACCTATAGGAAATCAAGTATTACTACTATTAAAGATAAATATGAGGGTAGGTATTTAAAAAATTTGTAATTACCCATCTTTTCGGAAAAGTATAACGTGGTGTTTATTCACAAAGATATTATTGGCATATTTTTAAAAAACATCACCTGTAAAACTACTGCACAATCAACAATTAGAGCTATTTTTTTCAAGCGAGGTCTTTTATACTTTTTTTCCCAGAACGGGTTATTAATTTTCCTTTAGACATAGGTAAATATTGAACTTGAACCTTGGATAAAATGCTCCTGAAAATTGATGATATTTGTTGTGACGGGTAGGGTTAGAAGAATTTACAAGTTTCCTTATATTTTCCTTCTATTATTTCCTCTTTGTGCGTTGATTTTTTTTATAGGCTTGACGTGAAACAGGAGGGGCTTTGTTGACCGTGAAAATGATAGATCGTTGCGAATGATGATCTTGACAGTGAGTAATAAAGTTGAAACAAATTTTGTAGACAATAAAAGTATTGTCTTTGGGTTTTTTGTTCATTTATATATTAAAAAAATAGTTTGTGGAAGTCTTTTGAATGTAATGGAGATCATGTAGTTAGTTCTAGAAGATATGTAACAAAATCATAATTCTGATTAATCTTTTTTTTTTATTAAATACATTCTCCTATGTAGATCCCAACAGCGTTGAAGTTTCTTCTAAGAGTGAAGAAAAATTGAAGGAGTAGGATGATTGAAAAAAAAAAAAATAGTATATGGTGTCATCCTCTACTCAAAAGTTATTAAAAATATGT